CTTAATCTTTTCGCAAACGTATGTAAAGTGAACATATAACAAAAACTTTTACAAACAAATACATATGCCTTTTGGATGGAGACTTGTTTAATTAACCGATGAATACTTAGGGCCTGTTGAAACTTGAGTCTAACTCCTTTAGCTTTTGTAGAGCGCGGTGGAATGTTCTAGGCACCCTGTCTTCTTCATGCTAAAGGCATCCAGGTGGTTACCTGCTGACCAAAAGGCAAACGAACCCCTTTACCTATCTGGTTGGTGTAAGAAAGCAGTGAATTATTTCAGCTCGCGTATTTCTGACGTTAATATCATCCCCCAGGCTTCCCGGGGGGGGGGGGGGGGGGGAACTCTGGGAAACCTACATTATCCTCCAAAATCCCCGTTTCTTTTCTTATTTGGCAAAGCATGACTCCCCTTCACCAGCAGCAAGTCAACGCAGTCTGCATTCTGGCTGCTTTAAAGGTCGTTTCTAGTGGCCTGCGCTGGAGAAGAGGGCGGAAGTTTCGGTGGAAAGGTCACTAGGAAGTGATCTGGTCCCAGCAGCTTCCCATAGCACTCATGTGTATATAGTTAAGCACTGCCTTTGTGACCAGCCCCGTCACAGCCAGACAAAGAAAAATGAGAAACACATCCTCTGCCTCTAGGAGCTCAGTTTCCTGGGGAAAAGAGACACAGTGATCACATAATAGGACTAAACGCGGCCCCCAAGGAACAGGGTGGAGAAAGCACATACTTGTACTTGACTCGGGAAAAACAGAATGCAGGCGTCTGAGGTGTAGGCTGGGCTTCACCAGGCAGGGAGAGGCACAAACAATATCCCGGGCAGAGAGAAGGGCATACGTGCGACATCAGCAGCTGGAGGTCGGGGAGGGCAGAACCCAATGCTGGAGAGACAGGTAGATGCCCAAATGACACGGGTCACCGCCTGTATTACCTGTTATCTTATTAGTGGATTCGAGAACACGTCCCAGTGTACAGTCAGTGTATGCCACGTAGTAGGTCCTGAAATAACATTAGCACTCCAGGAATGTTTTGAAGTGTAATTTCGTGTCTATCATGATCAGTTGTAAAAGCAGGTCAGTATTAAACTGATTTGCTGGTGATCTTTTTTTAAGTAATGTGATATACTGCCCTCTAGTGGTTATAAAACTTTCTGTCACAGTCCATGCCAGTAGCTTTCACTCCAAAGACTGGTTCATCATATGTGGAATTCAAGAAATCAAACAGATGAACATAAGGGAAAGGAAAGTAAAATAAGACAAAAACAGGGAGTCAAACCATAAGATACTCTTAGTGATAGAGAACAAACTGAGGGTTGCTGGAGGGGGGGGGCTAGATGGGGGATCGGTATTAAGGAGAGCACTTGTGATGAGCACTGGGTGTTGTAAGTGATGAATCGCTGAATGCTGCCTCTAAAGCCACTACTACAATATATGTTAGCTAACTTGGATTTCAATAAAATTAAAATATTAAAAAGAAAGGAAGGGAGGGAGGGAAAAGCAGATGAGTGCTTGCAAGGGTTTAGGATGGAGAAAGGGTTGACTACAAAGGAGGAGAATAATGGAATTTTAAGAGGAGTGATAGAATGTCATGTGATTGTGGTGGTGGTTACATGATTGTATGCATTTATCTAAACTTATGGAACAATACACCAAAAACAGTGAATGTTAGTCCATATAAAGTTCTTTTTTTTTTTAAATTTTTTTTAATGTTTTTTTTATTTATTTCTAGGTGAGAGAGAGAGACAGCGTGAGCAGGGGAGGGTCAGAGAGAGAGGGAGTCACAGACTGAAACAGGCTCCAGGCTCTGAGCTGGCAGTCAGCACAGAGCCCGATGCGGGGCTCGAACCCACGAACCATGAGATCATGACCTAAGCGAAAGTCGGACGCTTAACCGACTAAGCCACCCAGGTGCCCCAGTCCATATAAAGTTCTAAAGTGAATAGAAAGTAAAAACAAAACAAAAAGAACACTGGTTCAAACACATGAAAAGATGCTCAACATCACTCATCATCAGGGAAATACAAATCAAAACCACAATGAGATACCTCCTCACACCTGAAATTAACTCAGGAACGCAGATGCTGGCAAGGATGTGGAGAAAGGTGAACTCTCCTGCTCTGCTGGTGGGAATGTAAACTGATACAGCCGCTCTGGAAAACAGTGTGGAGGTTTTTCAAAAAATTAAAAATAGAACTGCCCTACGACCCAGCAATCACACTACGAGGCATTTACTCAAAGGATACAAAAATGCTAATTTGAAGGGGCATGTGCACCCCCGTGTTTATAGCAGCGCTATCAACAATAGCCAAAGTATGGAAAGAGCCCAAATGCCCATTAAGTGATGAATGGATAAAGAAGATGTGAGATATATATACACGTGTATGTATATATATATATATACAATGGAATACTACTGGACAATCAAAAAGAATGAAATCTTACCATTTACAACGATGTGGATGGAGCTAGAATAAGCTAAAGTAAATAAGTCAGAGAAAAACAAATCCCACCAAGATTTTACTGATATGTAGAATTTAAGAAACAAAACAGATGAACATAGTGAAAGTGACCTGAGCCGATGTCGGACACCCAGGTGACTAATCTACCCATGTGCCTCCACGAGAGACTCTTAAATATAGAGAACAAACTGAGGGTTGATGGCGGGAGGTGGGGGCAGAATGGACTACATGGGTGACGGGCAGTGAGGAGGGCACTTGTTGGGATGAGCACTGGGTGTTGTAAGTAAGTGATGAATCACTGAATTCTACTCTTGAAACCAATAGTGCACCCTATGGTAACTAGAATTTAAATAAAAATTTAAAAAGAAAAAATCATCTCTGATGACACTTATTTTAATTTATTGTTATAGACTGTGGTTCATGATGTAATTCGTTCTGAAAGTAGATTATGATCTTTTTCTCAAATAGTAAGTTGGGTAAGTTTAATAATACAAATAACAAAGAATATAAAATTCCCCATGTACTAATACTAATAATCAAACTAAGTAAATATATTTTCTAATTTATATGCATGTTGCATGTATTATCTTAAACAAGTGTCTACTACAAACCTCTCTACTGTTATTCTTCAGAGTTAAATCCTTGAATTTCCTCAAGGACGGCAGGACGTGTACATGCAGTAAAGCTTATTGCCGTAATAGGAAAAAGTAATAAAACACTCTACGTGACAATTGGGAAATCAATAAATTACATACATTCATATGATGACCATTGTTTTTAAAGAATATTTAATGAGGTAGAGAGACAGCAACGACCCGTTAGGAAGGGAGGAGAGGGTGCCGGGTAGACGCGGGCCGGGTCTGAGCTCTGGGAGGAGACAGGACCGGCCAACACGCACAGGCCAGGAAGTTCAGGCCACCAGTGTTCGCAGGAGTGGCGGCAGGATTTCAGGGGATTTTCGTTTCACGTAATAACTTTTTGTATATTTTTCACACTATCTGTGTGGGTACATTTGCTACCTTTTTGTGCAGATAAGGTCCAAAAAACGTGAAAGCACATGAGACAGTCTCCCCGGGCCAAAGTGAGCGCAGGATGGAGAAAGTGGCCCACGGAGTCCTGCCGTCGGGTTTCCTGCGAGGCCGGCTTACGGCCCATGAACCAGAATTCGCACACCAGAGGCTGCGTGTGCTGCTCACAAAGGCGTCTCCCAAGGCGTTTAAGCCGGTATTTCTGAGAGGGGCTCCGACACCTTCGGAATCAGAAGCCGAGTGACTCAGCATGAACCTGCCGTGGCCCTGCCTCCGCTCCTGCTGAGCTGTCGGAGGGCAAACCAGGGAAGCAAAAGCAGTAACACAGCGTTCCCTTCACAGTTGTTATGGCTCACAGGTGCTAAAATTTGGATCATGACCCCCAAATTATTTATGAAACCCCCTAAAATAGTTTTAAGTCTCTGTAACGTAGCCTCATTTTATTGTTTATGTAGTAATTGTCATAATATCTCTCTCCTAGAGATTACTATGTTTTTTAAAAATTTTTTAAAATGTTTTATTTATTTCAAAGAGAGAGAGCGAGACAGCATGAGCAGGGGAGGGTCATAGAGAGAGGGAGTCACAGACTGAAACAGGCTCCAGGCTCCGAGCTGGCAGTCAGCACAGAGCCCGACGCGGGGCTCGAACCCACGAACCGTGAGATCATGACCTGAGCCGAAGTCGGACGCTTAACCGATTGAGCCCCCCAGGCGCCCCGCCTAGAGATTATTATGATGTCCAGATATTAGAAGAAGCTTAAGGGACACCTGGGGGGCTCAGTCAGTTAAGCGTCCGACTTCGGCTCAGGTCATGGGCTCACGGTTCGTGGGTTCGAGCCCCGCACTGGGCTCTGTGCTGACAGCTCAGAGTCTGGAGCTGCTTCCGATTCTGTGTGTCTCTCTCTGCCCCTCCCCCATCTCTCTCAAAAATAAGTATTAAAAAAATAAAACAAGTTTAAGTAGTAAACTTTCCAAGTGTTTGGTGCCAGCACGGCCGACATGGTGTCACGCTGGCGTCGGGGGCACGACCCGGCGGTGGGACAGGCCTGTGCGCCCGGAGCCCGCCCGCCGCGGCCGCCCCCTACCACCCCGAGAACCGGAAGTAGGAGAGACCCTTACGCAGCGTGCACTCCAGACACCGGGTCAGCAGCGGGACCCAAGCGCTTCACATGTGACCTTGGTTAAAACGCTGACCTCTAGGATCCTAGTGGTCATGGAAATTAAGCCAGTATTTTGCCTTTTGGTTTCTAAATTCCCGCAAAGAAAGAAAAGAAAAACATTTATCCACAGAAAAGTTACTGCATTTGTTGGAAACTGGTTCAAAGCGATGTGGCTTATTTCTGCATGTGTTCAATCACACCTCTCAAGTCATCTCTGCTCGGACGTCAGACACCTCAGTCCAACAACGGCGAGCCTCGGGCGGTCCGCTCCGCGAGGAACCTGCCGGGTCCTCCCTCCCCGCGGCCGAGGCTCCGGAAGTGCGGCCGGAAGCCGGAAGCGGCGTCAGACCAGCCACGCGGGAGGGGGCCTGAGGGGCGATCTCGCGCGTCGCGGACAGCGAGCGGCCACACGCACGTGAATCCCCAGGTCAGACCTGGGAGGGGCACACTGTCGCCTCTGCTCCCTCCTGGGCCAGGGCGCCACCAGGAAGGGTGCCCAGCCAGGCCCCCCGAGGGGACAGCAGCCACCCTCTCAAAGCCGGAAGCGGTGCTCGGGTGCTCAGGGACCCAGGCGGCCAGGAGGCCCCTAACGGCCGCTGGGCCCGCACAGGCCCCGGGGAGCCGCGCTGGAGGACGGCAGGTAACTCTGGAGACGGGGGAGGGGTGCCATGAGGTGGAAACACGGTTAGTTAAAAGTCTGTTTACGCAGCAGGGTAGACCCCAGGTCCAGAGTCCCCCGCCGTACAGGTGGGTGACCCTTGTTTTACCAAAGCGAAACACGTAAGGACCTAAGGGGGAACTTTGTTTGACCTGTTAGTGGCCACCGTGACGCTCCGACAAGACCCCCTTGCGGGAGGCGTCTTGGGCCCGCTGGTGGGACGCTGGCCGTGGAGAGTTCTCGGGCCCAGAGACCCCTGGGGGGTCACGCTCAGTCCCTGAGGGCACTTCAGCCCTTCCCGGCCACTTCAAGATAGGACGATTCTTTTTTATTTTTATTTAAATCTTAGTTAGTGAGGGGCACCTTGGTGGCTCAGCTGGTTAACCGTCCAACTTCGGCCCAGGTCATGATCCCACGGTTCATGGGTTCGAGCCCCGCGTCGGGCTCTGCGCTGACAGCTCAGAGCCTGGAGCCTGCTTTGGGTTCTGTGTCTCCCTCTCCCTATGACCCTCCCCTGCTCACACTGCCTCTCTCCCTCTCTCTCAAAAACAAATAAAACACTAAAAACTAAAAAAAATTAAATTCTAGTTAGTTAACATACACTGTAGTATTGGTTTCAGGAGTTGCACCCAGTGATTCATCACTTACATATGACACCCAGTGCCCATCCCAATAGGTGTCCTCCGTAATGCCCATCCCCCATCTAGCCATTCCCCCCCCCCACTCACCTCCCTCTAGCAATCTTCAGTTTGTTCTCTGTATTTAGGAGTCTCTTATGGTTTGTCTTCCTTTCTATTTTTTCTTCCCTTCCCCTATGTTCATCTGTTGTGTTTCGTAAATTATACATGAGTGAAATCACATATTTATCTTTGACTTATTTCATTTAGCATAATACCTTCCGGCTCCATCCACATTGTTGCAAATGGTAAGATGTCATTCTTTTTGATTGTTGAGTAATACTCCATTATATATGTATAAACCACATTTTCTTTATCCATTCATCACTTGATGGACATTTTGACTCTTTCCATAGTTTATCTATTGTCAATAGTGCTGCTATAAACATTAGGGTGCACGTGCCCCTTCAAATCAGCACACCTGTATCCTTGGAGTAAATACCTAGTACTGCAGTTGCTGGGTCGTAGGGTAGTTCTATTTTTAAGTTTTTGAGAAACCTCGCTACTGTTTTCCAGAGCGGCTGCATCAGTTTGCATTCCCACCAGCAGTGCAAGAGGGTTCCCCTTTCTCCACATCATTGCCAACACCTGTTGTTGCCTGAGTTGTTAATGTTGGCCATTCTGACAGGTGTAAGGTGGTGTCTCATTGTGGTTTTGATTTGTATCTCCCTGATGATGAGTGATGTTGAGCATCTTTTCATGTGTCTGTTGGCCATCGGGATGTCTTCTTTGGAGAAGTGTCTATTGTGTCCTCTGTCCATTTGTTCACTGGATTATTTGTTTTTTGGGTATTGAGTTTGATAAGTTCTTTAGAGATTCTGGATACTAACCCTTTATCATATATATTGTTTACAAGTATCTTCTCACATTCCATAGGTTATCTTTTAGTTTCGTTGATTGTTTCCTTCTTTGTGCGGGAGTTTTTATATTGACGAAGTCCCAATAGTTCTTGTTTGCTTTTGTTTCCCTTACTTTAGGCGATGTGTCTAGTGAGAAGTTGCTCTGGCAGAGGTCAGACAGGTTGCTGCCTCTGTTCTCCTCTAGGATTTTCACAGTTATAGGTCTTTCATCCGTGTTGAGTTTATTTTTGTGTATCGTGTAAGAAAGTGGTCCAGTTTCATTCTGCACATTGCCATCCTGTTTATCCAACACCAATTGCTGAAGAGATTGTCTATTTTTCATTGGATATTCTTTCCTGCTTTGTCAAAGATGAGTTGACCATATAGTTGTGGATCCGTTTCTGGGTTTTTTATTCTATTCCATTGATCTACATGTCTGTTTTTGTGCCAATACCTTACTGTCTTGATGATTATAGATTTGTGATACAGCCTGAAGTCCAGAATCATGACACCTCTAGTTTTGTTTTTCTTTCTCAGGATTGCTTTGGCTATTCAGGGGTCTCTTGTGGTTCATACGAATTTTAGGATTGTTTGTTCTAGCTCTGTGGGAAAATGCTGGTGTTATTCTGATAGAGATTGCATTAAACGTATAGATTATTTTGAGGAGGATAGACATTTTAACAATGTTTGTTCTCCCAATCTTGAGATAGGATGATTCTGAAAGGCACAACATTCACCAGCAAGAAACAGAAAATGTAACTTTTTTAAAGAAAAGGTACCATTTATACCAGTGACAAAAAATTTAAGTGCCAATGATGACTCTTTTTAAGAAGATATGCAAGGTGTGCCTGAGCAGCTCTGTCAAGTTGAGTGTCCAACTCTTGATCTCAGCTCAGGTCTTAATCTCAGGGTTGTGAGGTCGAGCCCCGCATTGCGTTCTGAGCTGGGTGTGAAGTCTCCTTTAAAAAAATAAAATGAAAAGAATAAAAAATGATTTGGGGGCACCTGCAACCTCACTTGGAAGAGTGTGCAACTCTTGATCTCGGGGCCATGAGTTTGAGCTCCACATTGGGTGTAGAGATTACTCAGATAAATAAAACTTAAAAAAAAAAAAAAAAAGAAGATGCAGCAAGCCTTTTCTAGGGAAAAAGGAGGACAGACCAATCCAATCATTAAGACCTTTAAAAAACAGGAGCGCCCATGCCTGCAAGGTCATGGCTGGTCATTGCCAAGTGAATTGCCCTTGTAAAGAGTAACGAGGAGCTGAGGGCAGTTAGCAAGTGGCACACGTGCACGGAGCGCCAGGAGATGCCTGTAGTGGCTACAGACGTCCTCGTCTCCGTGCGCAGGAAGGGGCAAGGCGCTGAGGGACAGTCACAGAACTTATCGGACGGGGGAGCTGCCCAGGTAGGGTGGTCGGGGCTCAGACACCTGGCACAGGGACATCTGCGTGGGCGTCCTCAAGAACTGGGGCTCGACAGACTTCTCACTCGGTGCCCAGCCCCCCGCCGTCAGCCCCAGGCTGCAGGAGGGAGCCACCACTCACCCCAGCGCTCAGAACCTCTGTCACCGCACGGCTGCTTCCTGCGCATCTTTCAGGCCCAGCACGGCCCTGGGTGCGCTGAGCTGGGGTTGACCATAGTGCTCCACATGTGCGCTGGGAGAGGGTGTGGGGGCAGCACTGGGGGCAGCTAGGCCCTGTGGCAGAGCCCCGGTAGGGTCCTCTCACGTGGGGCAAGTGCCAGCTCTTTATGCAGAGGAGTGTTGTCACTGAGGACCTCAGCGCTGGTCCTGCTTTGTGGGAGCCGTACATGATGGGCCCTCACAGTGAGAGAGGCCGGGAGGCAGCCACTAACTGCCAGAAGCCAGGGGGCCACGGTTACCATGACAACCAGAAAGGTTAACGATGTGGCCGGTAGAGCCTGACCAGCAGCAAGGTGATTAAAATCTCTGGTGTTCCTGGGGACACAGTAGCCAGGCGCCTTCAGCGCACTACTGAACACCCACAGTCAGAGGGTAAGAATGGAGGAGCAGGAGGCCACAGACAGGGCTCCCCACAAAAAGTCACAAGTCCTGGCTCTCTCCCAAGACCTGAGCCACCCTTCCCATCTGGGATCCACTGAAAGACCAGATGACCAGGTCCCCAGGAAGAAGGACCCAAAAGACACACCCAAAAAAACCACATGCTGTAAAGATTCCCTCAGTCCCTGCCTAAAGGGACCCACTGGCATCTCCGTGAATGCACCCCGAGAAGAGGGGAATAACCAAATACTGAAGGGATATAAAGCATAGCGATCTTAGGATTAACCAGGAGCCGCGATCTACCAAAGGAAAGGAGTAAACTTGGAAAACAGATGTGAAGTCTAAGAAACAAGGCAGCTGTGGCCTCATGAACGCGCCTTCAGCTAAAGGAGCGGGACTGACCGCAGGCCCCGGTGTGTGCTCCGCTCCGACGCCCAGCCCAGCCCAGCTGCTCTTCCCGAGCTCCGTCCTCCCACGCAGCCCGCACCCCCCCCAGCCCCCCCCACCCCCCACCGCGCTGGTCCCAGCAGGTGACTGCGTTCCTAAGGCAAGCTGATTCCTGGGGTGCACGGTACACGCGACTCTACTCAGGGGCCACATGACCACATGCTTAACTTTCCTTAGGCCACACAGCACCTTAGACCCCTCCACCCACCGTCCTTCCCTCGGGGTCACACTTGCCTCGTGCTCTGAGGGGTCCCTCAGCCACTCTCCCAGCTGCCTCTCCATTTTTTGCTCACAAGCACTTCCTAATAGAATGTTCATTCATTTAACCCCATCTTGGCATCTGGCTCTTAGAGGACCCAGTGCCAACACAGGAAAAGGCTTAAAAAAATCCCCAGGATGATGATAAAGGAAGATTCCAGCAATGCACCAGGCCTAGGAAGCAACTGGCCAAGCCCACTGCAGGAGGGAAGGCTGCAGAAAAGATGAAAATGACGAAAACCTGGGGCGCCCAGGTGCCTCAGTCAGTTAAGCGACCGACTCTTGATTTCAGCTCAGGCCATAATCTCACAGATCGCGAGTTTGAGCCCTATGTTGGGCTCTGTGCTGACAGTGCAGAGCCTGCTTGGAATTCTCTTCTCTCTGCCTCTCCCTACTCTCAGAATAAATAAATACACGTTTTTAAAAAGTACAACATATTGTTGAGTATTTTAGTAGGCTGAAAGGAAGGGAAATGTGGGGAGAAGGGTGGTGAGTGGCGTGAGAAATGTCACGCAAGAGTTTAACACACCACATATGAAACTGAATGGTCACGAATGACAGTATAGGCACTTTGTTTGGAAATATGGAATTAAATATGAAAGGGAAAGCTGAAAGAATTAAAAGTGGTCATTTCTGGTGAGAAAGAGTGGAGATTGGTACCACTACCTCCTAATAACACTTGTAGATTTTTATGTATAATTTTGGTATAGAGTGTAAATGAAAAATAATTATTAAACATTAGATTGCATAAATGACAATCATGTGGAAATAATTTGTAAACAATCTATGTAAATAAATAGCTGATTCATAAAAACTAAAAATGTGAATAAAAATGAAGACATTTCATTTCAGAATTAATTAAATGAGGGACACCTGGGTGTCTCAGTTGGTTAAGCCTCCGACTTCAGCTCAGGTCATAATCTCACGGTTCATGGGTTCAAGCCCTGAATCTGGCTCTGTGCTGACAGCGTGGAGCCTGGAGCTTGCTTCAGATTCTGTGTCTCCCTCTCTCTCTGCTCCTCCCCTGCTCACACTCTGCCTCTCTGTCGTTCTAAAAATTAAATATTAAAAAAAATTAAAAAATAAAGTCCCCATAAAAAAGAATTAAATGAAAGTTAAAAAAGAAAAAGCAATGATATCACTTCTAGATACATACCCAAGAGAACTGAAAATATGTCTACACCAAAACTTGTATACAACGTTCATATCAGCGTTTTTTGTGATACCTTTTAAAAAGAGTTATGAACTCAAGTGTCTATCAACTGAAGAATGGATAAATAAAATGTGGTATATCATGTAATGGAATATTATTTAGCAATAAGAAAGAATGGAATTTTGATACAAGCTACAACATGGGTGAATCTTGAAAACATGATGCTGGAGTGCCTGGGTGACTGGTTAAGCGTCCAACTTCAGCTCAGATCATAATCTTGCAGTTTGTGAGTTCAAGCCCTGTGTCAGTCTTGTGTTGGATTCTGTGTCTCCCTCTCTCTGCCCCTTGCCCTCTCTGTCTCTGTCTCTCACAAGTAAACATTAAGAAAAAAATTTTTTGAAAAACAGGACTTTCTTGTCATGGGTGGCTGAATGGAAGGAGCCAGTCACAAAAGGCCACATACCATATGAGTCTATCTGTATGAAACGTCCAGAATTGGCAAATCCACGGGAGCAGAAGATAACATAGCATTAATTAGTATGAGTTGCTGAAGCCTGGTGGAGGAGAAAATAGGGAGTTTCAGCTAATGGGAATGGAGTTATTTTATAAAGTTATTAAAATATTCTAAAGTTAAATAGTGATGATGAATGAGCAATTCTGCTATTGTATTAAAAACCACTGAATTGTGGGGCACTTGGGTGGCTCAGTTGGTTAAGCGTCTGACTCTTGATTTCAGTTCAGGTCATGATCTTGAGGCTTTGTGAGACTGAGCCCCACGTCAGGCTCTGCACTGACAGCATGGAGCCTGCTTGCGACTCTCTCTCTCCCTTTATTTCTGCTCCTCCCCCACTAGTGCTCCTCTCTCTCTCTCAAAATGAATAAACTTAAAAAAAAAAAACTACCGCAGAATCTGTTTCATCAACATAGACAAGTAGAATTATTTTCTCCTTTGCTTGAGGAAAACCACCACCCCCACCACAACAAAAACGATTAAAGCCACAGGCTTAGCAAGTAGGTACTGCATTTCTGGGAGAATCTAGTTGATCTACCCTTTTTGTCTAGCCTGCGTCCTAAATGTGTGTGTTGCCTGAAATAAGTAAGGTTTTCACATGGCTTTTTACCAAATGGATTGGGAAGGCAAAAATATCATCAAAGCCCCCGAGATGCTCTCAGAGCATTATGAGAAGAGACTTGGAAGGGGCACCTGGCTCAGAAGCCGAGGGGATCTTTCATCCAAATGAATCATGAGCCAGAAGCATCACATTGAATGGAAGAAAGTGAAATCATCCTCTTAAATAAAACTATCTCCTTTCCAGTTTATTTCCATGACAAACAAGCTAGAAATTACATGGGATTTAATTGGCAAGGTTAGTTTTTTAATCATTTGAGTCATGTTTGTGAGTCAGATATAAACAAAAGGTAATCTCTTCCCAGAAACATCTGCTCGCTGTTCTTCTCCTACATAGAGCTGTCGTTGACAGAGGAGCTCACGCACCTTCATCTTTCAGCTTTGGCACCTAAATAAGCACCAGATAAAACACAAACATTTTTTAGAAACTTCTAAGGAAAATAAAAACAAAAACAAGAATCACTGAAAGGAATAGGGCATTTAAGCACCTCATTTCAGCTATTGTAAGGCAGGAGCGTGCTTCTCCTCCCAGCGAAACTCTCTTCAGTCTATTTTATTGTTATGAATTTGAAATGCTAACCCAGTGTTAAAGTCTACATATTGTATCCACACTCTTGTTAAAATAACTTTAGCAGCGGGGCGCCTGGGTGGCTTAGTCGGTTAAGCATCCGACTTTCACTTAGGTCATGATCTCGCGGTTCGTGGTTCGGGCCCCGCGTCGGGCTCTGTGCTGACTGCCAGCTCAGAGCCTGGAGCCTATTTCAGTCTGTGACTCCCTCTCTCTCTGACCCTCCCCTGCTCACGCTGTCTCTCTCTCTCTCTCCTAGAAATTTAAAAAAAAAAAAAATTTAAAATAACTTTAGCATACTTCTAAATGTTTCTATTCAGGTATACTACTTTGAGAATTTCCCACTTTTTTTTTTTTTTTAAAGGTTTATTTATTTTTGAGACAGAAAGCGAACGTGGTGGGGGAGGGGCAGAAAGAGAGAGGGAGAGAGAGAGAATCTCAAGCAGGCTCTGGCTGTCAGCACAGAGCCAGACACGGGGCTCTGTCCCATGAACCGTGAGACCCTGACCTGAGCCGAAACCAGGACTTAGACGCTTAACCAGCTGAGCCCCCAGGCGCCCTGAGAATTTCCACTTTCACAGAGTGATCATTTGTATGTCCTATAGTTTCCAGAATACATTTAGTTTTAAGGTAAAATTCAAACTTCCTATTAATGAAATATTTTGATACAACTTTTTTTTATTCACTTAGAGCACGCGCTTGCGCGCACATACACACACACACACACACACACACACACACAAGTGGGGGAGAGGCAGAGAGAGAGAAGGAGAGAGAATCCTAAGCAGGCTCCACACCGTCAGCACAAAGCCCCATGTAGGGCCCAAACTCACAAATGAGATCAGGACCTGAGCTGAAGTTGGACGCTTAACTGACTGAGCCACCCAGGCGCCCCTTGATATGACTCTTTAAAGTTAAAGCAGTCAAACAAAAATAATTTAAGTGATCGTTCGGTTAACATCTATGACCTGACAGCAGATGCAAGTACCCAACAATGGAGAGGCAGGAAAGCACCGACTAAAGACCCCTGAACTGTGTAGAGGACTGCATTCTGTCAAGCTGTCCTCAACTAAAGAACTCCAGATAATTTTTCAGAAGGAAACAGTGATGTGTAGTCATGGGCAGCTTTTGAACAAGGTGCAGTAATGACAATTTCTTGACTTTTATAATTAATGTCGATTGACGTTGACGATGATAATTTAATGACAATGTGTTGAGCACTTATCACATTCCAGGCACTCTGACAGACACCACGGTCTAAGGCTCTCAAAACCTTGTAATGTAGGTGGGATAATTGCTCCCATTTAACAGATGGGAATGGTGAAGCATAGAGAATTTGAGAAAGTTGCCCAAAGCCACACAGAGGGTATGATAAGCTGGAATTCTAACCAGAATTTCTGACCCCAGAACTTACACTCTTAACTATTATACTACCTTTTAAAATTTGGAATGAATTTTCCCTTGACCCATATTGTCACCACCATCAGTCCGCAAAAGCCTAGAAATGTGTCTAGACAATAGACCAGACACCCATACCTGGATTCTATTGACAGATGAGCCAATGCAGACACAGAAGGAATTGATAGCGTAAAGGAATTTGTCAGTACCTTGAGGGGAAAAAAGGGATTTCAAATATTTCAAAGCCAAAGAATCCTCTTTACGAGTAGAATCTTCTCTGGCACTTGAATAAGTGGTGCTGGTCTAACTACAGTAGGAAGCGAAAGCCACGCTCCCCTTCCTCCCTCCCCAGCAGCCCCAGACACTTCCCCAAGGTGCAGCGTCCCGTGGGAGACAGCCTGAAGTCACTGAGGCAGCAGGAGACAGCCAGAGACCCAGCAGACCTCATTTTCCAAAAATCATTGGACAGAGTATTTTATGAGGTTCTCATAGATAAAGTATGATACAGTTAAGTAACCGTACATTCATGTTCCCATCTCTAATGGGAGGACTTTGCATCTTGGGCCTGTTGCCTTCAACATTTTTCATCCATAACTTGGTCACCGAAGGTTTACCTAGGAAATAAAATGGAAAACAGCTGCAAATTACCACCAAACATAATCAAAGAAAGCATTAGCTGCAAGTGCTTCAGGAATACACATTTTTAAATGCCAACTATTTTCCCTAGAAATCTTTTCTGAAGCACCCAAAATTTTGTCTTAAATTCAAGAAACCCCATAGGTAACTTACCTCCCTCCTAGCACAGAGTTAATTTTACAAATGTTTGAATTCCTGCCCTGCTCCTCAGGCTGCAGAAATGGATTGCTCACAAAACCACAAGGTCGCAAAACCAAAATTAAAAGAACAGGAAACTAACCTTCAAGAAGCCAAGGTGAACTGCAAATTAGTAGCCTAGAAACATATACTAAAACCAGTGTAAGGAGCCAAGAATATAAACCCTGGGAGACAGGTGTTAACTGATCCATGGATCACAGGGAGAGGTCTGGGGCAGATCTGTCCTTTGTTTTGCTGACAGAAGCTGGCCAGGGTGTGGAGCATGGCTGACAGCCAAGTTTAAAGGTCCAGAGTGGGAATAGACCCAATCCTCTCCTAGGTATGGTAGAATCAGTATTTTCCTGGTCAGCCCATTGGGCAGTTGTGAAAAGTTCCAGGCTATTCTGGAAGTGAATGAGTTTTCAGATGACCTCTTTCAGCTTCTAAGCACTCTTACAAATACACTAAGTACTTGAACTGAGTTGGTGTCAAAAGCAATCTAGGAGTGCCTGGGTGGCTCAGGCAGTTGAGACCTGACTCTTGATTTTGGCTCAGGTCATGATACCAGAGTTGTGGGATTGAGCCCCATGTCAGGGTCTGTGCTGGGCATGGAGCCTACCTGGGATTCTCTCACTCCCCCTGCCCCTCCCCCACTAGTGTGTGCGTGATCTCTTGCTGTCTCTCAAAAAAAAATTTATTAAAAGATAATCTAATGCTTTTCCCCTCTGATGTGGTTACGCATCTCAGATTAAGAGAGTGTGAGGCAGAGGGCAAGGTCAACTGGCCAAGTGCAGCCAAGAAGTGGTGAGACATGGCAGGTGGCCATGGAAGACTAGCTGATGCCGTCTCTTGGTTTTATGGGAAGGCAGTGTCTGTGTGTTGGAAAGAGAAGCCCAGATATTAATAGGTCTACACTTTGCACTGTTAGTGCCAGCTGAATGGTATTAACTCACCTAATAGAAAGTGATAACCCATGGAAAATGTTTCGAGCAATGCCTGGTAAAACGGTACATGTTCCAAAATATTAGCTATTACAGTTGGCCCTTAGACAACGTGGATTTGAACTGTGTGGGTCCACTTATACGTGATTTGGTAAGTATAGTACAGTAATTGCTATGGATGCATTTTCTGTTCCTTTTGATTTTGTGAATAACGTTTTCTTCTTTATAGCTGACTTTACCATAAGAATAAGGAACATGATACATACATACAAAGTATGTGTGAATTGGCTGTTTATATGATTGGCAAGACTTCCAGTCAACAGTATGCTATTAGTAATTAAGTTTTGAGGGAGTCAAATGTTGTAAGTGGATTTCTGATTGTGCAGGGCACTGGCACCTCGAAGCCCCACACTGCTCAAGTGCCAGCTGGTGATTATTATACTCTCATCATGTGATCACCGTTTCCTCTTGGCATTAACCTGCCTCCTGCCAACCCTCTTCAGCCAGCCCCTGGGTGGGGGTGTTGAGAGATCACGGAATCATGAACTGGGAGTGTTTCAGCCCGAGTCTGGAATCAGGGCAAGGGTAGGTCTAGAAAGTGTGTAAATGCCATCCTAAACCTTGAACTCAATGGGTACAGTGTATCTTCTGTTAATTGCCCTCTCTGGACCAAATGAACGGCGATGCTCCTATAGGCCTAGGCTCTGGGGAGTCTGTCTAGGCTGGAGATGGGAATACGTAAGCACAGGTTATGATGCAGGCTGCTCATTAAACTAATGTCTCCCTAATGGCAGTACAGAAAGAACACTAGGGAGATAGAGCATCTGATGAAATCTCTACAAGTTTGCAGCTACCTAAGTGTGGTGGAAACACTTCATTTTGGACTTGGATAGGGAATATACAGCTCACACCCTGGCCACCAGCTCTGTTTCAAAATGAGCCCAGTTTAGGGGATCTCTTTCACTCTTTCAGGCAGAGTTTGAAAAGATCCTCTGGTAAGTAACCTTTGTTTAGGATTGAAGGGTCACGTGGGTTGGGAAGCTGGGATGGAGGGGTAGGTTGTACGGCAGCTTGTGGGAGCCGTAGGTAACGCTATTGGCAGAAGTCAGAGGGAAAGGAAGTGGAGGATGGAGGTTTCCAAGCAACGGAGACTGAAACCTAGAAACACAGGCAACAAATGAGGAAACTGCCACCCGCAGAATCCATCCCATCAATCACTCCTGGGGACAGTTCTGCAGACCCCCGCACCCCTGGCAGACCCATCCCTCCCAGGCCCTCCACAGAGCCCCCCGTGGTCTTCAGCAGACCCCTTCGGCCCCAAAAGACCACCACCCCACCCCACCCCGCCTGTGGCCCCCAGAAGAAACGGTCCACCAGCAAAAGCTACCTCTTCCACAGAAGATTTTGGGTTTAATGAGCAGCTGGACCACAACTTCCAGTATATTCTAGTCTTTTCCTTATTATGAGTTTTATAAATAACAGGATCATCATTACATAACTTTTCTTAGCTCCTCCTTTTTGCCTAACTATATATCTGGAAGCTCTTTCCAGATCAATAAATAATATTTAATCAGATGCTCATTCATGCAGCAAATAGTCACAGGGCATGTACCCCGTGTCAGGTGCTGTCCCAGGCACCAAAGATGGGGTGCTGAGTACCACAGAGTGGGGTCCTGGTCTCAAGGAGATGGCAGGCTGGTGGCAGGAGAAAGTAAGTAAACAATCAGCAGAGGCTGAGACCGCAGGGCTAAGAGGTGCCGTGCAAATAATTGAAATAAGGTGATAAGCAGGGCGCCCGGCTGGCTCGGTGGGTAGAGCATCCTACTCTTGATCCCAGAGTTGTGAGTTCAAGACCCACACACTGGGCTGGAGCCTACTTAAAAAATAAATAAATGAAATAAGGTGATGTGATTGCATGTCTAAGACAACCCTCAGTTGGATGGTCAGAGAGGGTCTTGAGCTGACATCAAACTACCAGAGTCAGCCATGCAGTGACTAAGAATACTGCAAATAGAAGGTGGGTGCAAAAGCCTAAGGCAGAAATAAGCTCGCCCCATGTAAGAAACGGCGAGAAGGCCAGAGCCACCGAGTACCGAGCCCAAACAGAGATGAGGTCAGGAGATGAGGACGGCCTGGGTCCCCCCAGCAGAGGAGAGAGGGGTGTGGCCTTCTACTCCAAATGTGAAGGGAAGCCACTGGAGTTTATTTTATATGAAAGGCGTGTGTGTCATCTTGACGGAGGTATCATTCGCACACAGTAAAATCCTCCAATTTTAAGTCCAAATTTAATTTTAAAAACATACACAATTGTATAATCTACACCATGATCTAGGATGTAAAACTTTCAACGCTTACTTTCCTCCTGCCCCCTGAGCCGTTCCCCTCCAGCCTGCTGTCACTAGAATTTCAACTTCTGGAGAATGTCAGGTCAGTGGAATCACACAGTGAAGACAACTGCGTAATTTGTAGGGTCCAGTGCAAAATAAAACTGTGAGGCCCATAGTTTAGAAATTATAAATTTTAAGGCTTCAGGCACCAAACTGGCCCAGTCAGTGGAGTATGCGACGTTCGATCCCGGGGTCATGAGTTTGAGCTCCATGTTGGGTATAGAGATTACTAAAACTACGTAAACTTTACAAAGAAGAGTTTTAAGGCTTCAAAGCAGAGTGTTAAGCCAAGCACAGGGGGCCCTTTGGAGCACGGGGCCAGGGAGCCAGCCCTCTACTCAGCATCTGGTTTCTTTGTAGGGGGCAGCTTTCCCTTGCGTGGGGGTGCCAGGGCACCCCGTCTGTGCCGAGGGGCACTCCCTGTGGGAAGATCCACAACTGATGCGTCCACAAAGCAGGTGGACATGGATGGCATTTCCCAGCTGGGAGCCCTTATGAATAAAACTCCCATGGACGCTCAAGTTCAGTCTTTGATGTCTTTTGAGACCAAGAAAGTTTTTGTTTTTGTTTTGATGAAGTGAAGTCCAACTCACCCATTTTTTTAAGGTTCACACATCTCGTGTTTTATCTAAGAAATCTTCGCCTACCCCAAGGCAACGACATTTCCTCCCACAATTCCTTTCAGGAGTTTGTGATTGCAGGTTCACCTTTAGGGCTAAGCCCCACTTAAGGCAGTTTTGTGTATGGTGCAAGGTCTGCCTGAGTCCCTTTGTGTGGATGGTCTCGTGTTCAGCGGCACCTGTTGAAGGGCCACCCTTTCTGCACCGAACTCTGTGCCTTACATTAGGGCTGGGGTCCAGGGAACGGCTTGAGCCGGAGAAGTGACCCTCCAGCAACGTCATGCAGCTGCTATGAGAATGGGCCCTTGGCAGTGCAGGCAGAGAACCGGTTAGAACCAGTTAGTGCAGGTGAGATGTGATGGGAGCTTGCTGGTTGGGGCAGGGGAACAAGATCTCCGTAGGCTTTAGTTGCTGCTTCCCCAGTGACCAGCGGTGCTGAGCTTTCTTCATGTGCTCATTCGCCATCGAGCATCATCTTTGGTGAAGTTCAAGCCACGGGTTTACTTCGATTTTACATTTAGTTTTAGGGCTCTGTCTAAGCAGAGGGGTGACAAGATCCTTTAACAAGGGCATGCAGCCGATGTCAGAATGGATTATAATGAAGCAAAAGTAGAATCTGGTCAATTGGGAGACGATTTACAGTCCAGGTGAGAAATAACAAAGGGCTGCCCTGGGGGGTGAGAGCGCAGTGGACAGGTTTGGAATATGTCTTATAAACAGAGTTGATAAAGCCGTTGGTAGATTGCTGTGAAAGATAATGGAAAGGTGAGAATCTAAGGTAATTCTGATATTTGGGACTTAAATTACAAAGCAGATGGAGACGCTATCGAGGAGGATGGAAAACACTAGAAAGTGGTAGGGCAGCAGTGGGAGGCGGCCTGCTTGGGCCGTGTTACATGGGGTGCTCCTCAGATCCACTCGGGATGCTAAGGAAGATTCCAGAGACACGTCAGAGCCATGGTGCCCGGAGCATCGGGCTACCTCAGTCAAACAGGCAGCTCTTGACCTCAGGATTTTAAGTTCAAGTTCGATTGTAAGTTGGGTGTACAGATTCCTTAAAAATAAAATCTTAAAAAAAAACAACTGGCATATAGAGAGTATTTAAAACTAAGCTGTTTTGTATGAAATTGTGTGTCCCCCTACAAAAGCCCAGCCCCCAATGTGATTGTTTTTGGAGATAAAGCCTTTAAGGAAGTAATTCAAGTTAAATGAAGTCATAAGGGTGGGGCTCTAAGCCAAAAGAATTAATGTCCTTATAAGGAGAAGAACTTTTACACAATTCCTAAAAGGGTGAGAAAGAAGAGGATAAAGAAGAAACCAGAAGATTTAAAAACTTTGGAGGTCACAAATGACCTTGACAGGAGCCGTCTAAGCAGACAGAAATTTGACTGGAGCAGAGGGAGGAGAAAATGTGACCTCAGACAGTGACTGCAGGCCAGTCCAGCAGGTGCTCTGCTGTGAAGTCAAGCCGAGCGTCAGGGTCATAGCCAGAAGGGACGGGAGTCTCCAAAAAAGATTTTATGGTTTTGTTTTTGCTTGCTTTGCTTATAGGGTTGGAGATAATAGTGCCTATGTGTGTGAATGATCAGCTAGAGAAGATCCTGTAGAGAATCAAGTAGAAAGAATCCATGCAGGAGAGGGAAAGAAATGCAGGAGGTAAGTCCTTGAGGAAGTAGAGGGGACAGAATCCAAGTGAAGGTTTGATGTTTGATGGAGTGCGGGGAGGGGCGACTCACGCAGGCTGACAGAGTGGATGGTACGGTAATGATGGGATTCTAATTGCTTCGATTTTGCTCATTCAGATATGCGGCAAGGTTGCCGGCTCCGGTGGGGGGGTGGGTAGAAGGTAGAGTTTAGGGGTGATGGATGAAGCCCTAGTGCAGAGTTTGGGAAAAAGAACATACTAGAGACATCTCATGGGATTGCAGCAATGCTGAGTCCAGGGAGGAAAGTCTTCCCAGCAGGCTTCTGGCTGACTTAACCTTCTACTTTGACAGCGGAAACTGGACTCCCATTTACCCCGAAATGGGGGCCCGGAGCTGCCTTCATCGAAGACATTGGATCTCTGCACAATCTGAAAACGTAACTATGAACCTGTTAGCAGGGAGGGGGCTGGGCGGGCTTTGGGGTCAGCAACCACAGTGCCCCATCCTTCACCAGACTGGTAAGTGAAGGACCTTCTTGTTTTAAATTACACTTTTCCATTATTATTAGAAATGTTGGGGTTTTTCCCCATTTTGCTTGGTTATTTAATATTTTATCTTTTGTGAATTGGTTGTTCAAATATTTCACCCCATTTTCTATTTTCAAACTGACCTTTATGAGCCATTTATATATTCAGGATAGCAATCCTTAATCTATTTTGTTTATTTCCAAATATATTTTTCCAATTATCATTTGAGTTTCTTTTTTGGTTATGGTGTTTTACATGTGCATATGTTTCTAATCTTTTCATCTAAATCTGTCAGTCTTTCTTTCTTTCCTGAGTATCATGTTTAAAAAGAATGCCCCCAGGTTACTCCTGTGGTATCATGCTTTAAAGGAAAACCCCAAGATTTTATAAATATTTATATATTTTTATAGTAATTTTATGGTTGCATTATACATATATAGATATATCTGTAACCCACCTGGAAACTGTTACACAGTATGAGGTAGAGATTTGATTTTCCCCTGACGTGTTTAGCCATTTGCCTCAGTGCAGTTTTGATCATGTTATCCTTTAAATACTATCAGTATTCTCCCTACCCTTCAAACTGCACCTCTAAACAATATCCAGATTTCCTATCCTGGCCTTCAAAGTGTTCAGTGGCCTGATTCTTCTTTTTTTTTTTTTTCCTGCCAGATTTCATGGACGCTGTGTTTCTCCTACTCATTTTCAAGCTGTTTTCAGATGAGACTTGATTGGTACCTAAAGCCCTCTCTAGCTATAAACCAAACCCTAGTCTTGGGTCTGGGGAAACAGCACATTTGGGACCTGTATATGATGGAGTGTAAAAGCATAAGGAGGGGCCCCTGCGTGGCTCAGTCAGTTAAGTGTCTGACTCTTGATTTTGGGTCAGGTCATGATCTCATGGTTTGTGGGATCAAGCCTCAAATCAGACTCTGTGCTGATAGCAAGGAACCTACTTGAGATTCTCTCTCTCTCCCTCTCTCTGCCCCTCCCCTGCTCTCTCTCTCTCTTTCTCAAAATAAATAAATAAACTTAACAAAAAACAGAAGGAGATCTTGATATTTGCCATGACATGGATGGAGCTACAGAGTATTATTCTCAGTGAAACAAGCCAAAGAAACACAAATACCACATACGATTTCACTCACGTGGAATTTAAGGAACAAAACAAATGATCATGGGGGGATAAAAGAGCGAGGCAAACCAAGAACCATATTCTTCACCACAGAGAACACAACTGATGGTCATCAGAGTGGGGTGGATGGGTGTCAGGGCAAACAGGTGATGGGGATTAAGCTGTGTACTTGTGATAAGCACAGGGTGATGTATCTCCGTGTTGAATCACTATATTGTACACCTTAAACTAATATCACACTATATGTTAACTGGAGTTTAAATAAAAACTCACAAGAGTATGTGTAAGATTGGAAAACCATATGGAAAATAATGAAAAGAGCTTTAAAAAAAAATGTATCGAGGGGCTCCTGGGTGGCTCAGTCAGTTAAGCATCTGACTCTTGATCTCAGCTCAGGTCATGACCTCAGAGTCTTGAGTTCAAGCCCTGTGTTGGGCTCCATGCTGGATGTGGAGCCTACTTAAAAAGGTTTTTTTTGAGGGGCACCTGGGTGGTTCAGTTGGTTAAGCATCCAACTTCACATCAGGGCATGATCTCACTGTTCATGGGTTTGAGCCCCTCATCAGGCTCTGTGTTGACAGCTTAGAGCCTGGAACCTAGTTCGGATTCTTTATCTCCCTCTCTGTCTGCCCCTAACCCACTCAATCTCAATCTCTCTCTCTCTCTCTCTCTCTCAAAGATAAATAAATATTTAAAAATTTTTTTTGAAAAAGAAGGGTACAAAAAAAATCAATTGGACTTCATTACAATTAAGAATTTGTGAGTATCAAAGCTACGAGCAAGCTATAGACAAAAGGGATAATCATTGTGGGGCACCTGCATGGCTCAGTTGATTGAGCGTCTGACTCTTAATTTTGGCTCAGGTCATATCTCAATGTTTGTGGGTTTGAGCCCTACTGTGGGCTTTGTGCTGACAGCATGGAGCCTGCTTGGGATCCTCTCTCTCCCTCTCACTCTGCCCTTCCCCTGCTTGAGTCCTCTCTCTCTCTAAACAAATCAGTAATCTGAAAAAAAAAAAAAGAAAATATTTGCAATGCATGTATTTGGCAATGGACTTATATCCAGAGTAAATAATCATTTTCCAAAAATAAATTTTAAAAGATGGACAACTCTTCGGGGACAAAACACTTAAACAGGCACTTCACTAAAGAAAATATCCAAATGGCCAAAACACATAAAAATTGCTCAACAACTATCAAGGAAATGCAAATTAAGAATCACAATGAGAGGGGCGCCTGGGTGGCGTAGTCGGTTAAGCATCTGACTTTCGCTTAGGTCATGATCTCGCGGTTCATGGATTCGAGCCCCGCGTCAGGGTCTGTGCTGACTGCCAGCTCAGAGCCTAGAGTCTGTTTCAGAGTCTGTGACTCCCTCTCTCTCTGACCCTCCCCTGCTCATGCTGTCTCTCTCCTGGAAATAAAACATTTTTAAAAAATTAAAAGAATCACAATGAGAAATATAACTTCACCAGAAAGCCTAAAATTTTTTTTTAAAAAAACTGACCATAGTATGTGTTGGCAAGAATGTAGAACTGGAAATTTCATGTGAGCTGGTTGGAGTGCGAACTGATCTACTTTAGAAGATGCTCTGGCAGTATCTAGTCAAACAAGACCTACTAATGCCCTATGACTGAGCACCTGCCGTGCTGTGTATACTTCCAAAAGGAGTACATGTGAATTCATCAAAAGACATGCTCCACACGTCCATAGCTGCTTTCGGCATAGCCTCAAACTGTATACACCCAAAAGGATCAGCTGTGGCATAGAGATGCGATAGAAAACTAATCAACAATGAAAGACCGTGCCTAGCCTCCTCAACTCACCACAGTTAGACCCACTGTAAACTGACATCCCTTTAGACCCACTGTAAATTGAAAATACCATGAATCAAAAATACATTTGATGCACATAACCAGGGGCGCCTGGGTGGCTTGGTGAATTGAACATCTGACTCTTGATTTTGGCTAAGGTCATGACCTCACGCTCCTGACACCGAGCCCCAATTTGGGCTCCTTGCTGGGTGTGGAGCCTGCTTGGGATTCTCTCTTCTCTTCCCTCTGCCCATCCCCAGCTCGCTCTCTCTGTTTCAATAAACAGACGAAAAACATGTAACCTACCAGTTACCATTGCTTAGGCTAGGATACCTTAACCATGCTCAGAGCACTTACATTAGCCTAAAATTGGGCAAAAGCATCCAACGCAAAGCCTACTTTATAATAAACTGTTGAATATCTCATACAACTTATTACACGCTGTAGTGAAAGTGAAAAACAGAGTGGTTGCATGTGTAGAGAATGGTTGTGAGTCTATGGGTTTTTTACCCTCGTGACCATGGGACTGATGTAGCTGTGGGTGCAGCCTCGGCGCAGCAGCATAGGATGATCAGAGCACGTACTGCTAGGCCAGGAAAAGATCAAAATTCAAAATCCCGAGTACAGTTTCTACTAAATGCATATTGCTTCTGCATCCTCCTAAAGTTGAAAAACCGTTAAGTTGAACCATCACAAATCCAGGCCTCACTGCTATTAGATGAAACAAAACCATGAAAACCAGACACAAAAGTTAGTTTACACCAGAAGATAGGAAGTATGTGTTCCAGGGCACCTGGCTCAGTTGGTAAAACAATAAGACTCTAGATCTTGGGGTTGTAAATTTGAGCCCCTTGTAGGATGCAGAGATTACTTAAAAGTCGATCTTTAAGAATTTTTTTTAAATAATAAAAAGGAGCACCTGCACTGCTCAGTCAGTCAAGGGTCTGACTCTTGATTTTGGCTCAGGTCATGATCTCATGCTTCATGAGTTCAAGCTTCACATTGGGCTCTGCACTGATACCACAGAGGCTACTTGCAATCTCTCTCTGCCCCTTCCCTACTCGCACTCTCTCTCAAAATAAATAAATAAACATCAAAAATAAATAAAACTAAATTCTGGTATGCCAATTCAAATGTGATGGTTAGTGAGTGCAATGAAATGTCAGTATATTCAGAGGAAACTGATCACTCATGTTGACAAACTTATAAAAACTAAGGAAACTTTAAATTAGGAGTGTCATGTTCCCACTCTTAATACTTAATGTTACTTAATAAAGTACTTTTCAGGAAAATTGTACACAAAATACTTATCTTTGAAACTATACTTTTAGTATATTTTAGTTCAATCTTTTGGTTTTTATTGTTCTACTTTCTTCATTAGACATTTATGTTAAATCTGAGTCTTTGAGAGAGCCTGGGTGGATCGGTCAGTTGAGCATCTGACTTCAGCTCAGATCATGATCTCATGGTTTGTGAGTTTGAATCCCACGTATGGTTTGCTATCAGCACAAAGCCTGCTTTGGATCCTTTGTTCCTCTTTCCATTTACCCCGCCTCTGCTCACTCTCTCTCTCAAAATTAACTTAAAAAAAGATTATGTTAAAAATATAATAATAAATTTTAAAAAGTATGTGTTTCTATCAGCCAACATGGTCTATTGGAGTCTTTAGCCTTCAGATGTAAATCAAAAAAAAAAAAAAAGAGAGAGATGGTAAAAGAGAATAGTTTTCCAAGTAGTCATATAGACATGCGTCTTCCAAAATAAGCCTAATTAATTGAAAATAATGTTGTCTTCATAAATGTTTGAGTCATAAAGCTTAGATAACTATAAATCCAAGCTAGCAGGTTTGAGATTAGGAAATTAACCTGTGCTGAGGAATTATGATTAGGGGTCAACTGCACTGAGTACGCACCTGTACTTTCTCTCTTGCGTCACCCCTTTCCCCAGGGAAGCCCCTGGCGGAGACAGGGTCTCTCCAGCTGCCCTCCAGCTCCCCACGGCCGCAGCATAGCACCGCCCCCTCCACACGGCTCCGCCCCCGCCCACATAGCCCCGCCCCGAGCCTCCCCACGTGACCCGCCCCCTCCGCGTAGCCCCGCCTTCGGCCTCGGTCTCTCGCTGCGAGTCTGGCCGCCTGCCCCCAGCAACCGCCGGGCGCCGCGCCCAACCAGAGCCTGTTCTCCTCCGCGAGGCCCCGCCGCGCTCCCGCCGGCTCGCCCCGCCCCCGCCGCGAGACTGGCCTCCCGCTTGTGCCCTGCGGCCTCCGCGTGGCCGCGTCCCCGCCCCACCTCGCTCGGCCCCCAACAACCGCAAAGCCCCGACCCAATTAGAGACCGACTCTCCGCGTGGCTCCGCCCCGGCCTCGCTTCGCCCCGCCCCTGCCGCGTGCCTGGCTTCCTCCCCCGGAAGAACCCGGTAGCCACGCCCCCGCAGCGCCCGGCGGACCCTCTAGCCGCCGCGTCTCCATGGAAACGGGACTCTGACGCGGAGTAGGAGCGCGATGGCGGCCGGGGAGCCGGGGGATCTGGGCGGCTACTACTTCAGATTCCTGCCTCAGAAAACTTTCCGGTGTTTGAGCAGCCAGGAGACCAGCGGCCGGCTCCGCCAGTGGTGAGAGCGCGGGGCGGGGCGCGCGGGCCGGGAGCGCCCTGCCGCGGGGCCCGAGCCGACCTCCCTCCCTCCTCCCCGCCACAGGTCCATGCTGGGCAGAGTCGCGGCGCAGGCGTTCGGCTTCGACCAGCAGTTCCAGGCCTACCGCAAGGACGACTTCGTCATGGTTGGTGTGCGGGTGGGAGGGGCGCTCGGCCGTCGGCCGACCGCGCGGCGGTCCCCCAGGGCCCCGGCCCCCTCCTCCGTCCCCCGGTGCCCCGCCGCGGGGTCGTCTGTGCACCCCGACGCGGCTTCAGAGGACTTCGGGGGGCTCTGTGGGCTCCTGGTCAGCGCGCGCGTGGGACGGCTCCCCCGCACGTGCACGCGGGGGTTCCGGGGGCGCCCCCCGCCGTGAATGCTGGAGCGGGCAGCTTCGAAAGGGGGGACACTCAAGATGACAAGCCCTGGTGCGGTCCTTAAGGCTCAGCCACGTGATTTCAAATCGGGTTTTTCCCGCCGTCAGACCGACCGCGGTGCCGCCTGTGGTCTGTGACGCCGAGCGTCCTCGGGCCCCGCTGTCGCCGATGGAGCGCAGCCCCGCAGTGACTGAAACGTCCCTTCTCCACCTGCGCCTCGCGGAGGAGCCCGGGCTTAGCTAGCTGGTGAGGAGTCACTGAAAGGTTTCAGGACGGCTGTAGAGTTTAAACTACTCGGGTCACCCGGGCAGAAATGGAGTCCGGAAGTGGCGGCGGCGGGCGGGAAACCGCTGTCTGCAGGCGCAGAGGATGCCCGGAGCCCCTTCCCGCCGGGCGTTGCGGAGAAAGGCAGCGTCGGGACTGATGAGATACTGAGGATAAGGTAGAAGGATGAGCGAGCGTCGGAGTTGGTTGGCTGGAGCCGTAGATGATGCCATGAAAGCCGTAGAAAATGCAAAAGAACAAGGAAGATGAGCTCAGTTTTAGGCATGCCCAACTCGAAGTGCGTGCAAGTGGCAGGGTCCTAGACGGTGGAATCTAAGACCTTGCTTGGAGTCTCAAGAGAGAGCTCTGGGCTCAGGGTATAGTGTGGGCATCCTCACCGTGGGACTAAGGATCATGGGGGAAAGAAGCAACTTACAGAGCTTTCTCAAGGTCCGCACAACATCACGGCCTCCTAGCGCAGAGCCTGGCCGGTGCAGACTGAGCTGCGCGCATGGCTGCCCTGAATAAAATCGGATTTCTTAAGGAAGAGAATTGATACTGGATCCAAACCCAGCAATCTGCCAGATTTCATACATATGGCATATAATAGAAATGCACTTAACATTCTGTGTTCTAAAAACTAATATACCAATTTATAAATACTTTTTCCCCCCTCACGTTTTATGAAATAAGTTTAATCTTTACATGCATTTTGGTATCAGTATCTTTGTTATCCTGTAACTTGTTTGGGAATCATCTAATATTTTTCCAGAGCACATTAGCTTTCCTAAAGTTGAGATACAGACAATCCCTTCAAATGCCTTGATGGAAATTCTATAACATACCCAAAATACTATTTAAATGTACCAGGACAGGGCTTTTTTTTAAAAAAATTTATTCTCGTGGTGCATAATTAACCCCAACATAATGACTCTCCTGTTGCTTTATGTGAGAGGCCTTTATGAAGACTTATTTCCACTGGCTCTAGGTCAATTCAGTGCAGGTCACTTAGCCTGCCTCCGTTTATAATGGGATGTAAAATGTAACTGTAAGTTGAAACTCCCTCCCCCCAGGAATAATTACTGAATCTGAATTAAATTTCTCCTGGACTGATTTTTGCAGAAGACATTCAAAATCAGTATTAACTGAGGTTAATTCCAGCTTATGTTCCTTTTCAAAGTGTATATTATATAAATTAAGGTAACTGTGGGGCACTTGGGTCACTCACTCGGTTAAACTTCCAACTCTTGATTTCTGCTCGGGTCATAATCTCACCGATCGTAGGTTTGAGCCCCACTTCAGTTCCATGCACACAGTGCAGAACGTGCTTGGGATTCTCTCTATCCTTTCTGCCCCTCCCATGCTCTGTCTGTCTCTTTCAAGATAGAGGAAATAAACTTTAAAAGAAAATAAAAGTAAAATATTAAATAAAGATAATTGCACACTCTTTAGCTTGAAAGACTTTATAAAGTTAGCAGCTTTTTTTTCTGAGGAGTAGTTTTGGGGGAAACTTACCTTTTTGTAATTGGGCATATGTGATCCTGTAACATGTTTCTCTCCCAGCACTAGAGCGTACGCTCCGTGTATAGGAACTTGTGCGTGGCATACCGCAGGCATTTCACACATACGCGAGGAATGTATTCATCTTCACTCTGCACACCTGCTCCCCTTCACTGTTCCCTTTCTCATTAAATGACATTCATTCTGTCCAGTTTCTCATGCAAAGATTCTAGGTGTCATCTGTGTTTCCTCCCTCTCTCTCTGTCCCTTCCTCCTAAATAGGCATTGAATCCATCACTTCTCCACCTCCCTGCTTGCTATCGTCTTGACTGAAGTGAACACCGGATCTTCCTGGATTACAGCAGTACTTTCCCTCCTAACTACTCTCTTAATAACCCTTTGTTCATTCTCCACAGTGCTGCCAGAGCGCGTGGTAAAAAAATAGGACTATTTTAAGCATCTTTCTTTGCTTAAATCTCTTCAGTGTCTTCCTATTGCCCTTAGATCAAATGTACTCATGAGGGGCGCCTGAGTGGCTCAGTCCACTAAGCATCCACCTTCGATTCAGGTCATGATCTTACAGTTCGTAAGTTTAAGCCCCCACATCGGGCTCTGTGCTTACAGCTCAGAACCTACAGCCTGCTTCAGATTCTGTGTCTCCCTCTCTCTCTCCCTCCCCTGCTCACACTCTGTGTGTGTGTGTGTCTCTCTCTCAAAAATAAATAAACATTAAAATAATATAAATAAATAAATAAAAATCCTTCCCTAATCAAGTGAGATTTTACTACAGTTGTTTTAGAAATGAATTCTTACTATTGTTTGTAATAAAATTTCTAACTTGTTCCCCTCAAATTTGTATTTTAGGCTTTTTTCAAAGACCCCAATGTTATTCCCAATTTGAAGTTACTTTCAGATTCTTCTGGACAATGGATTACATTAGGTAAATAAAACTTACTTTTATCTTTTCAGATGACTGTTTTATTATTATCACAAAACTTTGCCTTAGGAATTTTCATTCTGAAATACATACTGTGAATAATGACTCACTTGTCTGATAACATCGAGGTCAAGCACGGTCAGCTGTGCCAGGCCCTCCTGCGTCTCCCTCCTGGGCCCACGGCTACCGTGCTGGCAGAGCGCACGAGCACCAGTCCTCTTTTCGTTCATTGCTTGTGCGTCTCCCATGGACTCTGCTCGCTGCCAGGAACACTGAGGGGAATACAAGAAAACGCGTACGCAAGAAACTGGTTTGATATGTAAAGAAAATAGTGCAAGGGGCGCCTGGGGAGCTCAGCCGGTTGAGAGTCCAGCTTTGGCTCAGGTCATGATATAGTTCGTGGTTTCGAGCCCCACATCTGCCTTTGTGCTGACAGCACGGAGTCTGCTTCAGATTCTGTCTCCCTCTCTGCCCCTCTGCCACTTGCACACGTGCTCTCTCTTTCTCTCTCAAAAAGAAATAAAAACAGGTTCAAAATAGTGCACTAATGTGCTACCATAGCAGTAGAAGGAAAAAGAGGAGAGTGTCAGGTAAGGGGCCGCCAATGTGACGACAGTTGGGCCAAATCAGTCGGAACAGGGCAGCAGATTTCTGACAGAGGAAGCAGATGTTCTTAGAAAGTTCATCAAATAGCATATAAAATCATGGAAGAGAGTCTTAAAATCTCAAAAAAAAATTTTATATACGTAATAATTTCATAGTACCTTGAAACATAGCTAGAAATCCTTAAAGAAAATTACCCAAACAATAACACTCAAATCTCTTAAATAATTCTCAGGCCAAGGAATAAACCAGAGAGTTAATAGACGACTCTTTTGAAAACAAAAACATGACCACTATATTTTAAATGTTAGATTGAGGTGCCTTAACAATAGAACCAATTATTCTTCCACTTAGGAGGAAAATCTGGTTAGTAATGTGGGTTTGAGCTTAAGAAAAATGTAAGTGGATTTTAAATTAGATGGGGTTATTTTGGTAAATTCCTACACTGCATGTTCATGAAATCCTAGTAGTCTTACACAAAAATGACTTTGCTGAAAGTCATTAGTCAAGAACAAGATTCGTGACGTTAGAATTAGTAGGTCACATTTTATTGCTGTTGGCTAAAAACCATTGTAAAATTTATAGAGCAAAAAGCTGGTACAGGGTGATCTTCAGAGCACTTTCACAGTTATACTCACTCTGAGCAAATGCACTTACCGGTTCAAAGTCTTCAAAACGAAATAATCAGAGGCATGTATTACAGAGTTTATGAAAGTTACAGTAACTTCAGTTAGTTCATTTACAAAAATAAGGTTCGTTGAAAAAAGTTCAACCTTCCCCCGTACTGACTTTATTTTTAAAAAAAGCATTACAAAGAGAGGTTCTAAAATTCCACATGTGCCTGACAGAATCAATTAGAAGTACTCTGAAAAATCAGGCCAAAGAGGTAGCCCTCTATTTCAGAAGTAGAAGTTTCTAGAAGATTGCTAGTACTCTTCCATTAGCTTGTTTTCTATCTCCTACCAGCTTTTCTGTTTCTGATATTATCAACCGTCTTCTCTCCAATTTTCCTCTGAGGGCCAGCTGCTAAAATAAACTAAACAGCTTTTGGAAAGGAGAGAAAAGCCATTCTTCTAGCCAGTGAACCAGTGTTAAAGAGTGTGAGAAGGAGCCCCTCACGGCTGCGCTGGCCCGGGCCTGGCCTGCCAGGGGTGTGGCACACACACGGGTGGGTGCCGCGGGTCCTGTCTCCCCGCAGCCACAGCCCTCCTCACACAGGCACACTGCCCTTTTTTGGGTGACATAACGGATGCTTCCTATGTGCTTAGTTAAGGGCATTATGTTCACTACCTCCTTTAAATGGCTTTTTTTTTTTTTTATTTCATTTTTGAGAGAGCGCAGGCAGCGTAGGGGCAAAGAGAGAGGGACAGAAGATCCGAAGGGGGCTCTGCGCTGACAGCAGCCAGCCTGATGACGGGCTCGAAGTCACTAGCCACGAGATCATGACCTGAGCCAGAGTGGGCTGTTCAACTGCCCGAGCCCCCACATGCCCCCACTGCCTCCTCTAATTCTCAGAACAACTCAGACAGGTACTATCAGGGACCCTACATCACTAACGAAGAGTCGGATTCATGAGTAGGTGATTTGCAGTTTTACACACCTGGCCAGGCTCCCGAATTCAAGATGTTGACCACTACGCTGTCCTGCCTGTGCCACTTCGGCATTAATGAAGTTGCCAGAAAACACCAATTTGGACACCAAGTCAATAGACACCCTGTGTATTATAATGCTAATATCAAGGGGAAAATACACTCTTAACTTTGTATGTGATCATAGCAGTGTGTTACGTGTCTTATAAATGCTGGAGACCTGATTTTACCATATTTCTGCCTAACAGCGTGTGCTATGGACTGAATTGTGTCCTGCCCCCCGCCCCCCCCCCCCACAATTATGTTGCTTTAACCCCCAATGTTATAGTAATTGAAGATGAGGCCTTTGGGAGCTGATTAGGTTTAGATGACATCGCGAGCAGCTCTTCTGATGGCACTAGTGCCCTTACAACCAGAGAAAGAGCTGCCAGAGCCCCGCCGTGTGCGGGAACTGCCAAGAAGGCAGCCGTCTGCCAGTCAGGAAGAGCCTTTACCGGGAGCCGGAGCAGCCAGCGCCTTGGGTTTTGGGCCCCCAGTCTGCAGAACTGGGAGACGTAAACGTCTGCTGTTTGAACCGCCCAGTCCGTGGCGTGCTGTGGTAGTCACCTAAGCAGACTAACGCAGCTTTTGGTCCTGAGAAGCGGGGTGCTTCTGTGACATACCTAAAAAAGTTAGAAGTGGCTGTGAAACTGTGTCATGGGCGTCAGTGGAAGAGCTGTGAGGTGCCTGCTAGCCCAGATACATGGATGCTAAGCTTGATGCTAGTGAGATCTCACACAGAAATGAGGACCTTGGTATCAGAACCGGGAGGAAAGACAATCCACAGAACGGCAGAGAACCTGGCTGAACTATGTTCTAGTGTTTGGGGGAAGGTAGAATTTGCAAGTGATAAAATTACAGATTTAGTTGGGACATGTCTCAACAGACTGTTGTCGGGGCAGCTTGGTTCTTCCCCAGTGCTTACAACAAAGTAGGAGAGGAAGAGGTGGATTGAGGAAGGAATTGTTAAGAAGGAACCAGAGCTTGAAGACTGGGAAAATTCTCAGCCTTCCATACTGTAGAGAATGAGAAAGAGTCTTTTGCTGAGAACAGGTGTGGCTGGGCAGCCATTTGATGAAGAGAGCATGTGTGTACTTCTTGGACCTAACCAGCCATTTCAGGAGAAGCCAGGGTCCCAGGGGGGATTGTACCGGCAAAGACACTGCCAGTTTGAACTAAAGGGGACAGAAACGAGACAAGTGAAGGCTGTCAGACTTCTTAGATCCTACAGGACCAGACCACAGAATAGAGCCATCTGGCTGCACGCCTGGCCGTTCTTCAGGACAAGACAAGGACGGAAAGGCAGTCAGAGGTCATCGGGGCCAGTTTCAGTCACACACTGTGCCTTTGGGGGGGTCCTCGGGGGCTGGGCCACCGCCCTGGCGGGTCAGGAAGACGGAGCATTGAACCAAAGAGGATTGTTCCTGAGGCTTAAAATCTAATGAAACTTGACTTGCCAAGTTGTAGGCTTGCTTGGGACCATCACCCCTCGTTTTCTGTTTCTCCCTTTTGGAATGAAGATGTCTCTCCTGTGCTTGTCTCACTGCTGTATTTGGAAGCATGTCACTTGTCTGGTTTCACAGGGTCATAGATGGATGGAGAGGAATTTTGCCCGAGGATGAAGCGAACCTCCCCTGTCACCCATATCTGATTTAGGTGCTATGTAGGTGAGACTTTGGACTTTAGACTTTAGCGATGATGCAGGAATGGGCTAAGACTTTTGGGGCTGTTAGGATAGAATAAACATGCTTTGCACGTGAGAAGGATACGAAATGGGGGCGGGGGGTTCCAGGGGCAAAATGCTATGGACTGAATTATGTCCTTTCAGAATTGATTTGATGGAGGTGCTGACCGCACCTGTGACCTCACCCAGCCCTAATGACTTCCCAAAGGCCCCGTCTCGAAATACCATTACATTGGGGCTTAGGACTTCAATATTTTATTTTGGAGGGACGCAGTTCAGTCCCTAGCAAATGCTATTTCTACGCCTCAGATTAAGTGTTCTGAATTTAATTACCTTTTCTCACCATCCCGACCCTCCTGCCACTCCCTGCATCAGAGCTAGGGTCGTTTATTAGAATGGCACGTTGCCCAAAGTGAGTCCTTCATCCTCACGTCTTTGAAGACTGTCTGGCTCTATACTGCTCTTGGTCTTTGCTCTTGCAGCACTCAGAGCTCTTCTATCATTTTCTGTGGTCTTCCTGTCCCTTCACTCCCCCAGAGGATTTCCCCCCTGAAACAAAAGGAGCTTTTTCTAGCAGTATAGTTCTTGAACGTACTGAAGCATACACAGCTCCTGTCTCCACATGCCCGTCTCGCATCCACGCAGGCCGAGCTCGAGCCCGGAATGAGAGCGGCAGGTGCTCGCAGGGGCCCAGGCGGGCAGCTGGAGGGACGGGGTGCAGGTAACCTCCGGCATCGCTCTTCTCAAGCTCAAGCTGCTTCTGGCATCAGATACTGAGCACACGTACCAGGGCAGGTCGCACCAAGGGCCCCACTCTGAGGTGTCTGTCCCAAGGAGAACTCTGAAGAAAGAAGAACACCACCCCTTTATATATCTGAGCCCGCATGTGGATGTGAGTGCACGAGAGAGAAATTGAGGCAATAATAAATATTCATTTTAGTCTTTGTGTCTTTCTGTAACTGAGCAGAACCTCTAGTAATGGAAAGTCCATTCCAAAAGGAAACATTCAGGAAGTAAGTTTGGGGTGGGGGAAGGTATGTGGGGGGGGAAACGAGCTACAAGACGAAGGTAGACAAAACACCAAGGTCACAAATTTCTCTAATTCCAAACTTGTCATAACTTGATTAGAGCCTGGTTTGAAACTTACCTTGACTTAGAAAAGCTGGTTTTGGGCAAAAAACACTGTAAATGAGATCACAAGGGAGAAATTTTTTAAAGGAGAGGAAAATTTTCAAGACATCGTCAGGACTTTGCCAATACCCATTACTTAACATTAGTTAAAGTTTTTATAAAACTTTATAAAACGAATTATAAAGCATTGAACACAATACAAATCCAAAGTCACACAAAGCAGTTCTTATGCTTTTATAGGCGGTTCTGATATATGGATGAGAACTGATGTAAGAATCCCCTACTACACAAAAAATGATTTCATTTTCAAACATTTTCTAATTTACATATTCTAGGGCTGAAATGGTGAAATTTTGTCAAAGACTTTTAGTGATTAGTAAAAATGAACTAACGGCAAACTAATAATTTACTAAAATCCCTAAACTCATGTATCCTTTAAATATACCCAGATATATGTCCTTCTTGGCTACTTAGAATCCCTGCATGGTGATATTTGTTTTGGAAATAACTGAGAATACTAAGTTAATTTTTATATTCTATAAAATCATTTCTTTTAGGAACTGAAGTGAAAAAAATTGAAGCTACAAATGTTCCTTGTACACAGCTTTCAATGTCATTTTTTCATCGGTTATATGATAAAAATATCGTACGTGAAGATGGACATATTGTAAAGTGTTTAGATTCTTTTTGTGATCCCTTTCCTATTTCTGATGAATTACGAAAAGTAAGTACAGATTTTTTAAATTTCATAATAGAATTTTATTTCAGGAAATGCTTAATGTCAAAAACTTTCACCTGCATGAAATACATAAAGCACCTCTTATCGATCATTAATAATCAGTATTACTCATTACATTGGTAGACTTTTTTTCTTGGATGGGACTTTTACTATCAATCGAATTATCTGTGTATGTCAGTAGTTCCCAGCCAGATGCTACTAACCGTAATGCGTAGAGGCCAGAGAGAGATGTGGCGGGGCCAGGACAGCCCCCACAACACAGTTCTCTACCTCAGAATTTCAGTAGTGCGAGGGCAGAGAAGCCCTGACCTGCTTAACTGATGGCTCTTTTTCTTCAATATGGGGCCCTTAACATATCAAATGAATATTTAAAAATACCCCTGTCATAAATGAATCATTCTGTCTCACTGCTGAGGTCAAAAAAGCCATTTTAGGGGCACCTGGGTGGCTCAGTCAGTTAAGCGTCCGAATCTTGGTTTCAACTCAGGTCATGATCTTGCATTTGAACCCCACATGGAGCTCCATACTGACAGTGTGGAACCTCCTAGGGATTCTCTCTCTCTCCATCTCTCTCTGCCCTTCCCCTACTCACATGCTCTCTCTCTTTTTCTCTCAAAGTAGATAAACTTTAAAAAAAAATTTTTTTTTTAATGTTTTATTTATTTCTAGGAGACAGAGAGAGACAGCGTGAGCAGGGGAGGGTCAGAGAGAGAGGGAGTCACAGACTGAAACAGGCTCCAGGCTCTGAGCTGGCAGTCAGCACAGAGCCCGACGCGGGGCTCGAACCCACGAACCGCGAGATCATGACCTAAGCGAAAGTCGGAAGCTTACCCGACTAAGCCACCCAGGCGCCCCTAAAAAAAAATTTTTTTAACATTTTTTTTTTTTGAGAGAGAAAGAGACAGCGAGTGGGGGAGAGTCAGAGAGAGAGGGAGACACAGAACCTGAAGCAGGCTCCAGGCTCTGAGCTGTCGCACAGAGCCTGATGCAGGGCCCGAACTCACAAGCCACAAGATTGTGACCTGATTTGAAGTCGGATGCACAACCACCTGAGCCACCCAGGCGCCCTATAAATAAACTTTTATTTTCTTTAAATTTTAAAAAAATTATTTTTTTATTTAAAAATTTTTAAGGTTTATTTATTTTTGAGAGAGAAAGAGACAGAGTGCTAGTGGGGGAAGGAGAGAGAGAGGGGGGGAGACCCAGAATCCAAAGCAGGCTCCAGGCTGTGAGCTGTCAGCACAAAGCCTGATGTGGGGCTTGAACCCACGAACCCGGAGATCTGACCTGAGCTGAAGTCAGATGTGTAACTGATTGAGCCACCCAAGCATCCCAAATAAACTTTTAAAAATCCATTTGATTAACTAATTTTTGTTTTAGCAAGAGGTATATTGAATCAAAAGACATAGGTTATTTACCTAATTCCTGAGTTATTACTTATAAGATAATAACTAGGCAAATCTCTCAATATCTTGAGTCCCTAGATCTTATCTGTACGAGATAGTGATTAAAATGCCCATTCTATCTTCTTCCTTAAACTGTTGAGATGAGTTGAGAAAGCATTTAATTGTACTTTTTAAAAAGTATGACATGTTAAAATGAAGTGTATTATTATTATCATTATTTTATTTAGGGAGACAGTGAGAGCGAGCTGGGAGAGGGGCAGAGGGAGAGAGAGAGAACATCTCAAGCAGGCTCCATGTTCAGCATAGAACCCAACCCAGGGCTCCATCCCACGACCTAATCCAAAATGAAAATCATGACCTGAGCCAAAATCAAGAGTCGGACACGCAACCGACCGAGCCACCCAGGTGCCTCTTATTATCATTATTGTAATTATGGAGACAAACTATTTATTAAAAGGTTAAAAATTAGGGCTTTCAGGGGCATCCAGATGGCTCAGTCAGCTAAGCTGCTGACTTCAGCTCAGGTCATGATCTTATAGTTCGTGAATTCGAGCCCCATGTTGGGCTCTGTGCTGACAGCTGAGAGCCTGGAGCCTGCTTCGGATTCTGTCTCCCTTGGTCTCTGCCCCTCCCCTGCTTGGTGGGTGGGTGGGTGGGTGGGTGGGTGTGTGTGTGTGTGTGTGTGTCTCTCTCTCTCTCTCTCTCCCCCTCAAAAATAAACATTTAAAAAAGAATTAGGGCTTTCAGGAGCTCCTGGCTGGCTCAGTCAATGGAGCAAGCTACTTGATCTAAGGGTTGTGAGTTCAAGCCCCACATTGGGTGTAGAGATTTTTTTTTTTTTTAAAGTAGAGCTTTAGTATCAAATAGACATAGATTAAAAATCCAGGGTCTGCCACTTAATAACTGTGGTACTTAACCTCTTTTTTCATCTATAAAATAGGAATGATATAAGAATTATGTGAGGGGTGTCTGGGTGGCTCAGTCGGTTGAGTGTCCGACTTCAGCTCAGGTCATGATCCCACAGTTCATGGATTTGAGCCCCGCATTGGGCTCTGTGCTGACAGGTTTGGAGCCTGGACTGGAGCCTGCTTCAGGTTCTCTATCTCCATCTCTCTGCCCCTCCCCTGCTTGTGTCTCTCTCCCTTGCCTCTCTCTCTCAAAAATATTTTTAAAAATAAAATAAAATAAATTATGTGAGATAATGCACTTAAAGTGTTTAGCCCGATGCCTGGTACTTAGTAAGCTTTCAGTAATAGTAATGACTAACCACTAATTACTATTATTCTACATTAAGAGAGAAAGGAGATGTAGAAGTTGAATTTATTGTAAATCCCGATGAGAATGAATTAGGGAAGCTGCTGACACACTGTTCTGGACACAGACATCTCGTCTGTAGGAGACGGGAGGCATGCAGCCAGTCTGTGCATTCTTCTACACTAACAGAACACCTGAAAGGACTCTTAGTTGAAGAAGAAAATAAAATTAACTCCGTGAAAATGACCAAACACACAACTGAGGAGCCTCTATATAGTAGCTCTTTAGTTCAGTGTTACGCATAACACAAGAGAAGTACTGTCCCCGCGTGGATCTGATCATAACGACCGCTCTTCCGTACCAAGGATTGGAAATTAACCTTTACGGAGTGTCTAGTCTAGTCTGAGTCTTCTTCTTTTCTGGGCCCTTCTGCTCAGCTCTTCTGATCTGTCCCGATCTCCGCTGGCACACTTCTGTGTCGCAAGGCCCTTTCCCCTATTTTCGGAGAGCTCACCCTCACCTCTCCAGAGAGCCTTGGCCTGGGACTTTCCGTCTGGGAGGCGGCACTTTGGCGGCGCTGCCTGTCCTGCTGGGCTCGGCAGGCGCGTAGCCCTTGGATCCGGGAAGAGGCGCTGGATTTCTGCCAGCCGCCTCTGTGCTTCGCTCTGCTGGTCTTGGTCGCTCCGTGGCGACAAGAAGGTCGTAACTTGGTTGCTCTCTGGCTGAAAAAAATAAATCAGTAAGTGACCAGCTTTAGCCTGAACTGCACACGGCCCCCCACCGTGTCGCCCGCCTCACTGAGGACACTAACTGCCTCCCGCACAGGTCTGGCTCCTTGGCCCCCCGCACACCTGCCCTCTGGGATCAGCGCAGATGCTGCCGCCTCCACATTTATCCCCCGAATATCTTCCTCACTGTAACTTTTGAATTGTGCCCCCCAATCCGTTCAGTCACCAGAGCGCTCATGTAAGGAATGCGTGTCATTCCTGAGAGCTTTAGTCACTCTTGTGTTAGGCCAGATCTTTAGGTAGCCACAAACTCAGGCTTCAGTATCACATCATTTCCTTAGAGACAGAGAGAGAGGAACAGAGGGAGGTGGGGAGGGAGGGAGACAGGTCAAGCGGTATGTGTGGCACACCCAGGGAGTAATAAACTATAAGCCACTTCTCCGCACCTGTCTTTTACTGTAAGTCGCCTTGGCTTTCATAAACTCATCGTAAGTCATCTGCACATTGGCACCACCACAGAGTTTATTTTAAATGCCTCTTGTATGCTGACCTTGTGATGAATATTCATTTGAGACTGACTGGGGTAAATCAAATGTGAAGCTCAATCAGGTTTCCTAATTAGGTGTACTTCTTGCTACTAGACTGATTTTGTATGACCCCTATTCCCCTCCTTTACCTGTTTGGTAGTGTTAGTGTTACGTACATTTTTTGCAGCATTCCTTCATCTGGACTTCCTCATGTGTACGTATTTTCTTTTCCCACTTTGTTTCTTGGTTACAGGTTTTTGTCTTTTATTTTTCGTACTGTGTCTATATTTTACTGTTAGCTATTTTACATTCTTTTAAAAAGCAAGTGGGGTATAAACAACTCAATAAAATAAATGTGTGTTATGGTTTATATTCGTCACCTTGTTCGTATTTACCGCAATTAGCAACTTAATCAGCTGTCTGTAATAATCGATGGTATCAGAAAATCCCCCACATCAGACCCTGTCGTGCTGTTTTCTGAAGGAGGTAGCAAAGTCTCCAGAGAGCAAGAGTCAGTGTAGATGGGTGATGTGTAAGGTGAGATTATTAGGGGACAGCAGGAAAAAGCGGTGGTTACAATGGTCCATTTACCTGAACAGTTCAGAATGGAGTAATGGAGGCGGGCAGGGGTGGTAAGGAAAGTGGTGATCCAGACAGTGCAGGGGGAGGGCTTACGAATGAGGGTTGGCTGCCAGATCGAAGCAAAGGCTATGGACCTTATAGGATGGAGTAGCGCTAAAACAATTACTAAAGATATAAACTAGAAGAAAGGCAAAAGGGGAAGAGGAGAAGACTTAGATTTATTCCTTTAACTGAGCGTCAGTGGCTTATAGGTGACATGGCAGGAAAATGAGTGCCGGTCTCGCAGATTACTCCTTCTGGTTGTTCAGGATTGGTTGGTAATACAGGCCTGGGATTATTTGTAAGTAAATAAATGGAAACTTTTGAAAACAAAAATTAGAACCTTAAATCATGTTAGATTAAGACAAATTTTATCATTTTCCATAGGTTTTGCTAATGGAAGACTCAGAAAAATATGAAATATTTAGCCAAGCTGATAGAGAAGAGTTCCTGTTTTGTCTTTTCAAACATCTTTGCCTTGGTGGAGCCCTTTGTCAGTATGAAGATGTGCTTAATCCGTATCTGGAAACAACAAAGCTTATCTATAAAGATCTGGTGAGGTAATGTTGCTAGATTACAGTAGGTAAATCTCTGGTTAACAGAGTGCACTGTTTCACTGTGCTGGGCTTGCCGAGCGTCTCTTGCGTCCTGTTGACACCAACAACCAAACCGTGTGAGAACAGCACCGCCTCGACCCCCTTTTCCGGCCTCTCCCTTCTCCTCCGGGCTGGGATTTGGCTACGTCTCCCTGACTCGGTTCGCACCTTGTTTCCCAGTCTGACAGGTTACCTGCTCCATGCCTGCTTGGTTGCCACCTTATCTGGGATCTCCTATCACGTTCTCCCAGCTTCCCGTTGTGCTTACCCCAGGTCTCCCGTCATATTTACCCCAGGTCTCCAGTCACACTCACCCCAGGTCTGATGTCACATTTACCTCAGGTTTCCAGTCACACTCACCCCAGATCTGATGTCACATTTACCTCAGGTCTTCTGCCACACTTACCCAGGTCTCCTGTCACACTCAGCCCAGGTCTCCTGTCACACTTACCTAGGTCCCCTGTCAAACTTATCCCAACTTGCCTATAACCTCACCCCAGGTCTGCTGTCACTTTTACCTCAGGTCTCCTATCACACTTAACCCAGGTTCCTGCCACACTTACCCAGGTCTCCTGTCACACTCAGCCCAGGTCTCCTGTCACACTCAGCCCAGGTCTCCTGTCATGTTTATCCCAGGTCTCTTTTCACATTTCGGGGAAACACAAAATTCCTCAGGTTGACACTTACTCTAGATCTCCTGTCCACTTACCTCAAATCTCCTGTCACACTCACCCCAGCTCTAATGTCACTTTTAGCTCATGTCTCCTGTCACACTCACCCCAGGTTCCTGTCATGTTTATCCCAGGTCTCTTTTCACATTTCAGGGGAACACAAAATTCCTCACGTTGTGTAAATTTGCTTGACTAATAGGAAAACAAGTACTACCTTTTTTATAAAGAGGTGGAAGAGGGGCGCCTGGGTGGCTCAGTTGGTTAAGTGTCTGACTTTAGCTCAGGTCATGATCTCACAGTTCATGGGTTCAGGCCCCGCATCAGTCTCTGTGCTGACAGCTCAGAGCCTGGAGCCTGTTTCAGATTCTGTGTGTCCCTCTCTCTCTCTGCCCCTCCCCTGTTCATGTTGTCTCTCTCTGTCTCTCAGAAATAAATAAAACATTAAAAAAAAAAAAGAGGTGGAAGAATTTTCATCTAGGCATAAACTTTACATTTTTAAATTCCAAATTCCAGTTTGTTTTAGGTGTTCCACTAGGAGTTCCGTATTTTTCTCTTTGAAGATCCAATTGGTATAAAAACTTTATAAATTATTTATATATACTTCTATTGGGTTGGGCTTTTCAGTGATGAAGTTATTGGATCATGTTTATAGGGGAAATGGGTAAGACCAACTGAAAGCAAAGGGTCCCAGAGTTTAGTCACAAAATTTTACCTTAATAGGAAGACAAGAGAATTAGCTTCTCATAAAACTCTCGATTGTTACTTGCGCTCAGCATCTCAATTCTTGCTCCTGCTCGGTGTGTCATTCAGCTGTGTGACAACCTACATGATGTAGTTATGTCACTTCATTCTTTTCCTGGTATGTTGGGTTTTTTTTAAAGTTGATTTATTTTGAGAGAGAGAGAGAGAGAGATGGAGCGGGCAGGGGCAAAGAGAGAGGAGAGAGAGAGAATCCCAAGCAGGCTCCTCGCTGTCAGGTCAGAGCCCCACACAAGGCTGGAACCCACTCACTTGAGATCATGACCTGAGCCAAAACCAGGAGTCAGATGCTTAACTACCTGAGCCCCCAGCCACCCCTCTGATGTGGTTTTAAAAACAAAAAGTATTTCTTTAATTTGCCTCTGATTTTTGTTGCAAAGTTACTCTGTCAACATATAAAGATTGTTAAAAAATGTTAGAAATTTAGAAAATTTGAGAAAAACATATACATACTTACATCCAGAACATTCTGTCCATATCATGTGTAGCTTGTGAAAACTTGTAAGCCTGCTTCCAGCCGCCTGCATATGCTCTGTGGTACACCCAGTGACACACTCACGCACACACGCACACTGCTGCCATGACAGTGTGTTGTACTTCACTGGTCCTGCGAGCATGTGGAATTCCTCACCACCGTGTGCCGTGTGGGGGGAGCTGCTGTGGGAGGTGTTTGAAACAAGTAACTTTAGAGCCTAAACTTTGGAGAAACTGTTTTCCCTGCCTGCCCCTCCCCGGATTCTCGCCTGTCGTTCCCTTCTGCCCTCCCTGGTGCTAAGTAGAAGTTTGGCGCCAGGGGTAACGGCCACTTGTAAGACGAGTCGCCCAAACTCCCGGCCTCTTACAGAAAGAATAGAAGTCCCGCCCTCAGATTCGCTGGGGCAGGCAGCCGGCAGGTTGATGGTGTGCACAGAACTCTGCCAGGCTCTCAGGAGGCTGCAGGAGAGCCCTCAGACAGTCCTTGACCTTAAGGAAATAATGAAAAACTAACATATTAAATAATTGTTTAAAACCTCTGACAAGTAAAAATTGTTATGAAATCAAATCTTCAATTTTTTATAGGCAAATGTTTGCAGCTCCTGATACTATAGTAAATACCCCCAGAAGTTCAGAAGAGGACATTTTTAGGGCGGCTGTGTTAGGGAAGTCTTGATGGAATGGGGTCCCCATGGGCCAGCAGAGGGACGCGTGGCCTGTTCCCCGACCAGAGGAGACCCGCGTGCCACTAGTCTGCCATTCCAGGGGACACTGGGAAGGAACCAGCCCGATTACAGCATCGCTCTTATTTGAGAGCCATTCAGGATTTCTGCTGATGGCCCGAGCTGAAGCGTGCTTATGCATTTCTTGCTGAGTGGGGAGGAAATTTGAAGTTGTTGTCTTCCCAAAACAACTTCAGAAGAAAATTATGATTAGAATAAATAAATATTTGCTTACGATGGCGTAAGTGCCAACGCAGAGCAACCGAAGGGGTTAACTGATCACAGAGGCCCTTCAGGCCCTGCTGGTTTGCTTATCACTCGCACTGCCTGTGGCTTTTCTAACCAGTTGTGCTGATTTGGGTCCGAGGCGGTGCCATTTGGTTAGGGCGACGGTTTGGGCTGGATCGGTCCAGCTCCGAGGAAGGAATGCACAGGTAGGCGGAGCGCGGGCGGAGCTCCAACAATTGTCAGTAACTTTTCTTCGCTCTGAGCCACATACCCGAACAAGTCACTAGCACAATCCAAATTAACCAGCAAGGGTATTGTTTTGTCCTGTTCCTTTACTTGAATTTTGGGTATTTTCATGTTTTTAAGGAAAATATCTGTTATCATTCTGATTGTGCGTGCAGCAGCTGTTTCACATTATCTAAGCTGCCCTTGCAGATAAACATCAGCACTAATCTGCTCCAGAAAGAAGCGAGGCCCTTAAGTCTGTACATGTTGGAGGCACATCGTGGAGCTAGATTTTAGTGGTCTCTGGCTCAAGCAAGAAGGTGAAAACATTCTTAAGATATTTTTTCCCTCATCCATTAGTACAAGTCCTATGAAATACACTTTTTAAATGTTCTGGAAAATGCCTTCTTTTCAAGGATTATGGTTCTTTTAAATAATATAGGTAGTACTTTAGAACCAGTTCATTAGAGAGTAAATATGACCCATTGTTTCATTACATTTCAAAAATGTCTATGCAGGGGCGCCTGGGTAGCTCAGTCGGTTAAGCGTCTGACTTTGGCTCAGGTCATGATCTCACAGTTTGTGCGTTTGAGCCCTGCGCCAGGCTCTGTGCTGACAGCTCAGAGCCTGGAGCCTGCTTCGGATTCTTTATCTTCCTCTGTCTCTGCCTCTCCCCTGCTCAGGCTGCCCCCCCCCCCTCTCTCTCTCTCAGAAATAAATAAAACATTAAAAAAATTTTTTTAAATGTCTATGCTGAAATATTCTGTAGTCACTAATGGCAGCCTTTGTCTTTTCTGCTGTGAATATTAAACTCTTGTCACAGTTTTTGGAGAGGTTTTCCAAACTGCGTATCTGTCGAAGATAGGAAATTTTCTTTTTTTTTTTTTTTTAATTTTTAATGTTTTATTTATTTCTGGGAGAGAGAGAGACAGCGTGAGCAGGGGAGGGTCAGAGGGAGAGGGAGATACAGAATCTGAAATAGGCTCCCGGCTCTGAGCTGAGCTGTCAGCACAGAGCCCGACGCAGGGCTCGAACCCACGAACCGTGAGATCATGACCTAAGCTGAAGTCGGATGCTTAACCGACTGAGCCACCCAGGCGCCCCAGGAACCAACTGCTACTAATGCTCAAATGGTAGTATCTTTTGTAAGTAGTATATGTATGTGTTAACTGTTAAAATGAAATATCAAATACTAAATTTTCTTTCATTTATTGGATAAATACAAACTTTTACAAGGGTTGGTCTGTTTTTTGTTTTTTAACTGGGCTAATTTACATACAGTAAAGTGAACAAATCGTAGTGGACCTACAGCTTAGTGAATTTTTATATATTTATAACCACCTCCAGATGAACACCTAAATTCAGGTATAACCATAGGTAGGTATGTTCTGTATTTGGGTTTAGGTGGTTATGTGGGTGTGTGCAGTATGAGTGTTTTGTATGTAGTGGTTATAGTTACCCCTTGGATAAGCGCAGAATTTCAAATACAATCTTTAGTGTTTAAGCAGTATATGTTAAGTGTTAGAGAAAAGATAATGACCACAATCCGTGTCGTAGAAGTAGATGGAAATTAATTGTATGATTTCTGCCTTTAAATTTGAATGAAATGTTTCAAAGATAAAAGCTGCCTGAAAAAAAAAAACTGCCTAAGAACTTTGAGCCCCGAAATGGCTCAGGTCTGGCCATTCTGGTAGGTGCGCAAGCTCTCTTTTACACACACACACACACACACACACACACACACACACTCGCTCACAGTCCACCTTCGTTCTCCTCCTCGTCCAGCTCACTCTTCGTGTGTCAGGCACCTAGCGAAGCGAGGAGGGGCTGGCCTCCTTTCAGTGCGACGCACCGTGTCCCCCAGGAGGACAGCCTGTGCTGCGTGTGTCTGCTAGAGCGGCGGCAGGGGACGCAGGCAGAGGAGCTGGATGGACTCTGTGGCACCTGGAGTCATGTCCCCGAAATACCACTTTTGGTTGGGACGCCTTAAATGTCTTGTCTAACTTCTCTGGCTCTACTGGCTCTACACCTGGTAAAATGGTAGCCACCAGCCTCCCAGGGCTGCGTGATCTTTATCTGACGGAATTATGTGAAGGTATTTTGCAGACTGTAAAGCATTACTAAGGTGCCGGGTGTAAATCTCCCTCTGTAGCCTGTTGCCTCATCTCTCAGTGGCTTCCGCTCTGTGCTGCCACGGGTCATCTTTTGTGGGGAGAGTGACTGAAAGAGAGCTGCTGAAAGGAAAGATTTCATGATTTTAATATGATATAATTTAATAATACATAATTTAACAAATAGTTTTCCCATACCTTATCCCACTCAATCCTCACAGAATCCTAAAAAGAGCCATAGTATGCCTAGTTGACATGTGAGGAAACTGATGTTCAGAAAGGTTAATCTTGCCCCAAATGAACTAGTAAATCAGTGGCCAAGCTGGTGTGTGGGTTTAGATTGCCGAATTCTGTAGTTTAGCGTGATTTTACCTACCTTACAGCTGCCTACACTTTAGTCAGACTTTTATCACTTCCTCCTTTTCTGATGGTTTTCTCTGGCTTGGGAAACATTCATCCTCTGAGTCTCGGTCAGACCTCAGATAGTCTCACTGTCAAATTCCGTGTTCCGCATCCTGGGGTAAAAATGCAGGTCTGTCCTTTTCAAACCACTTGAGTCGGATGTTGTGTGTTTCTGTATTTTATAGGCATAAGAACACCTGCGTACTAAAAGCGATCTCTATTCTAAATGTATTATGCCAAACATTCAAAAAAAGGTTGGGGGGTGTGCGCACCTGGGTGGCTCAGTCAGTTAGTTGAGCATCCGACTTTGGCTTGGGTCCTGATCTCACAGCTCATGGGTTCGAACCCCGTGCTGGGCTCTCTGCTGACAGCTCAGAGCCTGGAGCCTGCTTCAGATTCTGTGTCTCCCTCTCTCTCTGCCCCTCCCCCACTCATGCTCTGTTTCTTTCTCTCTCTCTCAAAACTGAATAAACGTTAAAAAAATAATAAAAAATAAATGTATTATGTGAATGCTTGTTATACTTAAAATGTATCCCTTTCCCCCCATTTTAGTGTTCGAAAGAATCCTCAAACCAAGAAAATACAAATTACCTCTTCCATCTTTAAAGTTACGGCATATGTAAGTATTGAGGGGGAATTTGCAAGCATTCAGTTTACTTACTGGGTATTAATAAGGTTTACAATGGGAGTTAGCAACTAGTCCAATGTTATGTCTAGGAGAAAAGATGATGGATGATATTTAGTTTTTTGTCAAAAAGAAAAGTTGATAAGGTATGCTTTTATTTGGAGAGCCATACAAACTTCTCCCCCGGCCTCTTTTCTGTTGTCCCTGTCTAATAATAGTACTTACTTAAGAGCGAAACATGTGACTCAGAGGCAACGGAACACCTTCTCTAGTTTGTTGGACCATAGTTTATAGGGCAAATAAGAGGTTGTAAATGTCTGTATATTACAGAATCTGATGCTTGAATTCTAGTGTCATATAAAAGATTGTTAGCACATTTGAAGCAGTTTCTAAGTATCTTTACAGAATCACTTAACAGATGTTATTCAGTGCCTGTTGCGTATCAGCCGCTGTGTTGGGCATTTTGTGTTGCTAAACAAAAGAAACATAGTTGTTTCCCTCATAGTATGTAAAGACCACATTCTAAAGGAAAGCAAAGGCAGAAGAAAATTGCAAAATAGAAATATTTGCAATATTAGCATTTTAAAAGCACTTTTTCAAAAGTTACAGTTTCCTTTTAGACTATAAGTTCCTTTAGGTCCAGAATTATATGTGTGTGTATCGTACATATGTACTGTTAGCCCAGTAGACTGCGCTGTCAGTTCATACTGTAAAATGTCAGCTAATTACGAATTTAATTGTAAAAGGTTTGATGTAGGTTTCATGACATTTTAACAGAAAATATGTAGTAGTTAAAGGTATTATTACTTACATACATGTAGTTGTAGACTAAATAATCTAGGTCTGTCTTTTTCAGGATTCTGTTGGTATGTGCTACCCTTCAACAAAGACTCACGAACAGACATTTTCTTACTTTATTGTGGATCCGATCAGGCGTCATGTTCATGTTTTATACCACTGTTATGGGGTGGGGGAAGTGTCTTAACAGTATTCTTGCAGATTATCGATTTTACTGTTTCTACCACTTTTTTATTTTGATGCCAATGTATAGGAAACATTTCCTTTGCCAGTTACTTTAACTAAAATGTAGAGAAGCTGCAGATGCCTGTCTTTCAATTTACCTGGAGTGGTAGCACAGGGAACGAACTCCATCCTGCCTCCGTCTACACCACAGTAGTTGTGGACAATTTACAGAAAGTTACAAGGAACTAAAAATCCAGTATATATTTGTTGCATTAAGATTCAAGTAAGTCTTCGATTTTCATGTATTTTATTTTAGAAGTTAATTCTAGCTTGAAATTGTCGCAGAAAACTGAACATGGCTCTACTGATTATTACCAACTGTTAGCTTTTTAAATTTGAGTTTCACTTAATTGCATTTCTTCAGTGCATAAAGATTTATGTCTCCAGGGATGTAAAATGCAAAACAATTCCTTTGCTTCATTTGCCCCACTTAAGATCCTCAATAAAAAAGCTATGTTCTGAAAGTAATCGTGAAGTCTTTTATCACATAATAAATTACATCCGCGGCTGCCCCACAGCTGCCCGAGGACCCCGATGGTGTCGTCGGGGGCGGAGGTGGCGAGAGAGGAAAGAGCGGGCCTCAGGCTCCCTTCTCCGTTCCTCATTCCCTTCCGAGAATGCAGATGTAACTTACGTTTGTTTAAAGGTACGAACGACCAGGTACAGCGAGCCTGCGAGAAATGTTGGCAGTCTGAGGGGACACACGTTTGAAGTATGTGTCTCTGTGTCGTAAGGACAAGGGCGATGACCTTGTATTTGCGTCTGTGGATTTGTCTGAAGAGCAGCCGCCAGTTTGTGCTTGGCACAGTCAGCGTCTCCTGGGCGATTACCGTCCGGACGCGTTCATCACATCCATAGGCACTGTTTAACCCGCGTAGGACAGACACATCACAGTGAGAACGGAGGGCCCTCCCCGGCCTGCCCTGACCGCATAGACCCTACAACCTGGGCACGCTCCCTCCATCACACGCTCGCCAGTCAACGATTCTGCGTATCCGCTCCGTGCGAGGTGGGTTTCCTGGGGGACCCCGTGCTCGTCCGTGAGCCCAGCAGTGAGGGTGCTCTGCCAGAGCGGGTCCCCAGACCGGGCTGCGGCCTGAGTCCGGAGAAGGGGGACATCCCGCGAGCTGGGCCTGGGCGGCGCTCGGTGCTGGCCCGGCGCGGGCACGAGTCCGCGAGTCCGGAGGCGCGGGAGGGGCTGGTCTTCTCTCTGCCGTCCGGGTGGGGGTGCAAAACGCCTTTGCGGAAAGATTGTGCCGTTGTTTGGGGATAATCATTTTAATGATCTATCTGTGATTATGCAAATTATCTCCGTGGGGGTATTCCGGCATCGAACTAACCAACGTGGCCTGAGCAGTCGCACTGCCCGGCTCTGAATTGCGCCCGACTCCCTGTGGCACTTGGAGCTCATTAAAACCTTTCTGTGCCCGAGTTGCCTCATCTGTAAAGTAGGGGAAATGCTAGGACTCCTTTGAAGGTTACTGTGAAAACTGTGTATATATATATGGCTTTGAATAGTGTCAAGCCCATAGTTTAAGTGTGAATTTTGGCTCTTTTCATTCTCTATTGAGGAATACGGAAAAATCAGGAGCTAAACTGTCTGCATAATGATGTAAAAAGCTGTCTTCCTTAAGTTCAGAATTGCTTTTTTTAAAATGTTTATTTACGAGAGAGAGAGAGAGAGAGAGAGAGCGCGCGAGCGAGCATGGGAGCGCTTGCAGGGAAGGGACAGAGAGAGAGAGGGAGACACAGAATCTAAAGTAGGTTCCAGGGTCTGAGCTGTCAGCATGGAGACCCAGGCAGGGCTTGAACTCACCAGCGGTGAGATCATGACCTGAGCCGAAGTCTGACGCTCAGCACACTGAACCACCCAGGCGTCCCTAGAATTGCTTTTTTTTACAGATTGTATCATTACTAACTGGACCGGATACTACATAAGACGAGGGAACACTGGTCTTCCCTGCTCTGGGCCCCAGACAGTGTGGAGGACAGAAACTTGGACTCCCAAGAATTTCTTTGGCAGCATTTTGCTCACCTCTCGGGTGCCTGGCTGGCTCAGGTCAGTGCAGTGTGTGACTCTTGATCTCAGGGTCATGAGTTCAAGCCCCACATGGGGCATGGAGCCTACTTAAAATATTTAAAAATTTTAAAAAAGGAATTCTTTGCTCACTTCACCTATTTATAATAATTTATTTAATGTTTGTCTTAAAAACAGGACCTGTGTCCATGAGGTTCAGCCTTGAGTCCCCAGTGCCTAGCATGGTGCCGGACATGTGATGGACACCCAGTGTCTGTCCTGTGACTGAGGGCCAGGAGCTGGCCCTGGGGGTGTGCCTGCAGGTGTGGAGTGAGGGAGGGCAGGGCGGCTGAGTAAGTGCACACAGCTCCTTCAGCTGCCCTCAGTCCCGTGTTCATTCCACACACCCGTAGAGTCTGGGTGTAGCCATCGTGTGTGGAGGCGGACAGGCAGCCGGGGAGCGCGCCCCGGCACAATGGTCCTGGGAGAACGCGGCCGGCCGAAGCCAGCACTGGAAGAGCGGCTGTCGCTGGCTGTGGGTGGAGGATTTGCCCAGGGTGACACGTGACAACAGAATGATTTTCGGGGACTTCAGAGCATTCTTCTGAAATTCTGAAAGTTACTTAAGGGAAGACCCATGGAATTACAATTTGGACAATTCAAAAGGGGGCTCAGGCTGAAGACCAGAGCACCTGGCACACTGAGGTCCCATGAGCAAAAACAATTCACACGTATGAAAACAAACAGTGGTTTTTGGGGGCGCCTGGCTGGCTCAGTTGGTAGAGCATCCAACTCTTGGTCTCAAGGTCACGAGTTCCAGCCCCACATTGGGTGTAGAGATTACTTAAGTGAACCTTAAACACACACACACATACACACACAGAAACAAAAACACAAGGTGGTTTGGGGGGACATGAGCACAGCTGACTAGTTGGGACTGAGGATCACGTCCAGGAGTTGTGGGTAATAACACAGAGACGGACTGCCGAGGACCTGGTCACTGAGGGCCGTGGGTACCATACTAGAAAATTAAAATCCTCTTTTTTTTTTTTTTTTAAAGATTTTATTATTATTTTTTAAAGTAATTTCTACCAACATGGGGCTCGAATTCAGGACCCTGAGATCAAGAGTCACATACATGTTTTGCTGATTGAGCCAGCAAGATGCCCCATAATTAAAGTCTTTTAAGTAGGTGACATATAGCAGTCGTTAAAGACTTTTGAGCAGGTTGGTCGCATCATAGACGTGGTATTCTGGAAAGATTAATCTGGCAGTGATGAATTGGGGTGAAGAAAGTCCAAAATCCAAAGATCAAGTAGGAGATTATTATAGTTGTCAAAGCACAGAACTAACCGCTCTGAGTAGCAAGGGACACCTTTCAGGACGACATGAAGTACGTGACAGTGGAATGCTCACCAGAAAAAAACCAAATATGGCCCCAAACAGTTAGCAAGTGGCTGAGTTACGGCGTGTTGTGCATCTGTGGTGGCGGGATGGGGAAGTGGGTCTGTGGTAGGAAGCTGTGGTCAGGAGGGGAAACCCCTGTCCTGCCCGTCACTCCGGTCCCCACCCCAGGCTTGGAAACCAGACTCTGTAGGTTCTTAGAGCTGCCTGGAGGCCTCTCAGTCATCCAGCAAGTATTTGTTAAAAACTAGTGTCATTTATCCTTTAACAAACGTTAATTGATTGCCTACTATGTGCTGGGCGCTTTCTGAGCACTTGCAGATACAGCAATGAACACAACAGACACAATTACTGTTCTCGAGTTTACGTGCCAGCACCTGCAACAGGGATGGTTGCGGTGAGGGATACAAAGAAACTTCTAGTTACTCTCAAGAAGTGTGCCCTTTCGTTAGAGACGTGACACACTCACAAGTTTTCTTTTTTTTCAATCTAATGGGTGTGAAATGGTATTTATTATTTTGATTGCTATGAATTTTTTTTTTGAGGTGGAGCATCATTTTATAGATTTCCTTGATCACACATATTGATTGTCGTGGGCGCCCCCAGGGTTGGGAACCACTGCTCTACTCTCTACTTCCGTAGTTTAAAAGAGAGAGAGTAGATGAAAACAGAAGAACAAAGGAAAGAAGAAAAGGCAGGGAAGTACGCTCCGCTTCCTTTTTACAGTAAAAGCTGCGTTAATTAGCACTTAGAAGCGGCATTCAGCGCCACATTGAGCAGCGTCCACCAGGCGCACCTGGGAGCCTCTGATGCAAGTTTCAGTCTCCTGACTCTGCGTACGCGTCAGAGTTCACGGGCACCAGCAGGCCACGCTGCGCTTGAGTAAGGGTGGAACTTACCATTCCTGTTTATCTTTTTTTTTTTGGTAAGAGAAAAGACTGATCACTGGGCTGGGCTTTAGCAAACACTAGGACTCTGTGAATTCTGTTTCTTACCTTTTCCATTACTAGAACAGTGCGAGAGAGAAACGGTAAAGTGAAGACCACGTGGACAATATCAATTTTTATTCAACCAAATTCTTGATCAACTGTCAGCCTGTATTTCCTTAACATATCGTAGAATAAAATAGTTATTTTGCTTAGAAGCACTTTGTACATATTCAGTTAGATCTACCGCAAAATTCTGAGGGAGGCTTGAGCAGTCAGAGTCAAGGACAGATGCATCATGAGAGGCCTTCTTAAGAAGGGAACTGAAGGGCACTTTCTTTATTTTTGAAGTTTTAATTAATTTATTTATTTTGAGAAAGAGTGTGTGGGGAAGGGACAGAGAGAGAGGGTGAGAGAGGGAGAATCCCAAACAGGCTCCACCGCTATCAGCACAGAGCCCGAGGATGGGGCGCAATCTTATAACCGTGAGGTCTTGACCTGAGCTGAAATCAAGAGCTGGATGCTGAACTGACTGAGCCCCCCGGCCACCCCGCCACTATAAGGTTTGAAGCAAATGACTAGCGTACATTTTTACAAATGGAAAGGTCACTGTGGCTGTTGCATGGTAAACAGATGTGAGAGGACACGGGGAAACTGTCAACATCTAGTGAGAAACGGAGGCGCTTGGAGCGAGGATGGTGTCAGTAACGATGGAGAGGCATGGGCTGAATTGTGTCACCGCCAAAGTCTCAATGCTGAAGTCCCAAACCCCTGTGTTGGAAGGTAGGGTCTTCTGAGAGGTACTTACGGTAAAATGAGGTCGTATTGCTGGGCAATCACCCCACCTGACTGGTGTCCCGATAAGATGAGGACACAGAGACTCCGAGGGAAGGCCGTGTGGAGACGCCAGAAGAAGACAGCCATCCACAAGCTGAGGGGGATCTCAGGACCCTGCTGACTCCTTGGGGATGGATTTCTGGCCTCCAGGACCGTGGGGACATTAATTTCTGTTATCACACCCTGTGACACTTTATTCTGCAAGCCTCATCACATAGGATCTGGAAGGAAATGGGTATAGTCCACATGGAGTTTTGGACCCAGAACAGTGTTACTGATGGACTGAATTAGGGGTGGGGAATGGAGAGGAGAGAAGTCAAGGATGAGTCTCAGGTTCCTGGTTTTAGTACTTTTAGAACAAATCTGCTCAAAATGTTTGACAAGAAACAATCTTAGAAATAAAAGGGCTACTTCAATTAAGGTCTTGAAATCTGGAAAGAAAGATGGATTTTTTTTTTCTGAGTTGCCTTATTAACTGCAACTACATGTTTTATTAATTTATGTTTTGGGGCTTTATTTTGTTTTTTAAGTAGGTGCCACAACCAATATGGGGCTTAAACTCATGACCCCGAGATCAAGAGTCCAGTGCTCTACCAACTGAGCCAGCCAGATGCCCCAAGAAAGATGGGAATTAAATGAAATGGGATATGCGCGCCCAGCTGGCTCAGTCAGTACATCATGTGATTCTTGATCTCAGGTTGTGAGTTCAAGCCCCACATTGGGTGTAGAGACTACTTAATAAAATCTTTTTCAAAAAGTTAAAAAAAAAATAAACAGGATACTGTATGTGCAAGTAAGCGTCAAGCAAATACAAGTCATTGTTGTTGACTTTACCTTAGTTGTTGTCAGCGCCTGATACACAATAGGGACCGACTCTAGGTTCGTCTGGGAGAGAAAGGGTGGAAATGGCACTTGAAGGAAATGGGTGTAGAATCATAGGAGATTGATGGGAACAAGAAAGGCCGGAAGTAGCCTGGGAGACCAGCCAGGAACTGGCTGTAGGAACTGAGGTGTGAGCTGAGTAGTGTCTGATGTCTCTGGGAAGGTCAGAGGGACTGGAGACATTTAGTAAACACAAACACACAATTACCCACATACATTAAACAGCCAGAAAAGAGATGTAACTAAAACACCTGCCATTTTCTACATGGGCAGCAATCTTACCTAATTTCCTTCCTTTCTACCTTCCTTCCATCCTGTTTATTCATTAAAAAAATCTTTTCTTTTACATTTATTTTTGAAAGACAGAGCACGAATGGGGGAGGACCAGAGAGAGAAGGAGACACAGAATCCGAAGCAGGCTCCAGGCTCTGAGTGAGCTGTCAGCACAGAACCCGATGTGGGGCTCGAACCAACGAACCGAACCGTGAGATCATGAACTGACCCCAAGTCAGATGCTCAATCGATTGAGCCACCCAAGCGCCCCGTTCATTCATTTTTGAGAGAGAGAGTGCAAGTGGGAGAAGGGCAGGGAGGCAGAGGATGTGAAGCAGGCTCTGAGCTGTCAGCACAGAGCCTGATGAGGGGTTCAGACACATGAACCCTGAGATCCTGTCCTGAGCCGAAGTCGGGCACTCAACCGACTAAGCCACCAGGGGAGCCCCTTACTGAATATTCTTAAAACCTTCTTGGGTCAAGATCCATGGCTAGCACAATGCTTTGTACAAAAACTTAATAAATGTTGTAGATAGGTAATATATCATAATTTACTTTTTTTTTTTTTTTTAAAGGCAGTAGTATGGCGGGATATGTCTGGACCAGGAACTGGAAATTCTTGTTCTGCCACTGAAGAGCAGTATGGCTTTGGGCCATTTACCCCAGTGCTGCCCAACAGAGCTTTCTGAGATAAGGGAAGTGTTCCAGATCTCTGCTGTTTCATCCCAAAGCTACTAGCCATATGTACAGTGTTTCAAGTAAGCACTTGAAACATGGCTAGTGTTACTAAGGAACAGTTTTCTCTTTATTATGTGGGTAGGGGCCACCATATTGGACAGTGCAGGTCTCTCAAGACACCAAGCTCTTCTGGGTGAAAGGAGAGAGCTAGGCTAAGCGATCTCTTTGGCTTTTAGTTAAAAAATGCTGTCATTCCAGTTCAACACAGCAAATTCATGCATACATCGTAAGGGTTCAAATTTTAACTTTCAAAAATAAAATATTATTTCTAAAGATTGTTAAGTTATACACTTTCACACCTAGAAAATATGTAAATACTTTCAATATGTAAATGATGTAAAATCAATGTGTAAATAATGATCTTCACAAATGCTAATCGTGTGTAGATGGTGTGGTGTATTGTGTAGCACAGTCACCGTGCTGAGGAACACGGGGTACCTGTGGAGGGCTCAGAAGACAGCAAGGCCATGGTTACGGACTTGATTAAGAAACAAGACGCTGAGTAAAGCTGAAGGAACTGGTATTGTTTAGAAACAAAGACTGAAGGAAGACTAACAATTACAGCCAAGTTTACAGAGGGTTATTAGAGATGGTTCCGGATGTTCTCCACGGATCAGAGCACTAGAAACAGGTTACAGAGGAAATAAGTTAGATAGCAAGAGGCCTTCAGAGAGTTTGATACATTAAATTCTCAAAAGAAATTTAATGGATCTTAAAACATTGCTTGTGCCACATATCATGTTGAAGATCCATATATATGGATAGTCATGGGGCGCCTGGGGGTTCAGTCAAGTGAGCCTCCGATTCAAGATTTTGGCTCAGGTCCTAATCCCAGGGTCATGAGATGGAGCCCTATCAGGGCTGTGGGCGGACAGTGCAGAGCCTGCTTGGGATTCTCTCTCTCTCTCTCTCTCTCTCTCTCTCTCTCTGTCTCTCTGCCCCTCCCCTGCTCGGTCTCTCTCTATCCAAATAAATACAAAAACAAAAACAAAAACGCATTGATCACATAATGTTAAAACTATAAACAATCTGGAATCAGTATTTAATGGATCTTTTTAAGTAGGATTTATTGTCAGCTTTCAGGTAACATTTAAGACATCAGTTTTTGAGATCCTTTACAACATAATCTTTCCAATTACCAAATATGTGCTAGGTATAGATATTTATAGAGTAAATAATAAGATTAAGGGGATCCTTAGCTATAAAACAGTGAAAATATTTACAGAGCATGTTACTTATTATTTATGGAATGAAGACAGACTGTGGAGTGTAACATAAAGTTCTCACACCCAGCACGCCTCAGAACCACGCGGGGGGGCTGTTAAAGCCCAGACTGCTGTGTCGGCCCCCGGAGGTTCCCGATCTCACGTTCTGAGGGAGGCTGCTGCCGCTGGTTCGGGCGCCGCCCCTCGAGCACGGACTGAGAGCACAGTCTCGTCGGTCGGTGTTTCTAGAAGGCCCCTTCCCACGTGGGTAGGAGCGAGCGCGGCTCGCGCGGCCCGGACGCGCGGGGCGCACGCTCTGCCCTGTGCGCAGCGCCGGTCGGGCCCTGCGCGGCTCCGGGCCGCGTCCCACACGGGTCTGCCCTGAGCTTCTGGGGCTTCGTACTCCAGAATTTTCCCCGTCTAGCTCTCAGGACTCCCGTATGGATCCCTTGAGCTAGATTTTATAATAAAAGAAATCGAATTAAATGACTATTTGTAAGCAGGCTCCAGAGCCATCGCAGGTTCGAACTCCCGACTCAGACGAGGCGCGGCCTGCTCCCCCCACCGGGCGGGCCGGGCGCCCCTGATCTCGGGGCTCGGAATCCGCAAGACTTCATAATAAAAACTCATTCACACCTGTTATTTTGTGTACTCGTCATCATTATGCTGTGGAATAGGTATTATTACACCGCCTACTGCCCCGACCTGGCACATAATTGGTCCCTTACACGTAGGTACACAAACGTTGCACGAATTTCACCCGCTGCGTGCCAGATGCATGGTTCACACTCGCAGCAAGAACCAGAAACAAAACAAGTCAGAATCTGGAGGTTACGTAAGCCAGGAGCTCACAACACCCATGGGGGGCGGGGAGGGGCGTGGGCGAGACCTCCAGGTGCAGTAGAAACGGAGGCCCGGGGACCCTCGGAAAGAGGGGTCTCTCTCCCTCTCTCCCTGCCAAATCTCAAGTCGGACCCTCCTTAACTGTGGTAACCCACACCTCTTCAGTATGGAAACCCCTAAAAATATATTCGGAGAACAAATGATGTTTCCTAAACAACTCTTTATTTGGGACGAGACTCTGTGTCTTCATACTTTAAACCGACTTCCCAGCGATCAACCCAGCTTTGTCCTTAACATTTAATATTAAGACCACATCACTGTAAACCACCACTTATCAGTTAACAGAAATAAAACTTTCCTTAAATAACAGGGTTCCTACACCCCTTTATCATTCTGCGTAAGTAAATTCGACAACACTCTTTAACTGCCTGAAATTAACTACAATATTCCTGATGGAGTGTTTGAGCTCTGGAATCCGAACTTTAGATTTGGTCAGAGATCGATCTACAAGCAGTACAGCTTTAGGCAAGTCATTTAACTTATGTGTGCCTCAGTGTCTTCATCTAGGAGAGATTTTTTTTGTTTTAAAGAGGATTGGAAGACCCTCATGAGGTCTCCATCCATACATTTATTTATTTTTTAATATTTACTTAAGAGAGAGTGCACTAGAGAGGCTGAGGAGGAGAGAGAGAGAGAGAGGGAGGGAGGGAGGGAGGGAGGGAGGGAGGGAGGGAGAGGGGGAGAGAGAGAATCCCAAGCAAGCTCCAAGGTGTCCATGCAGAGCCCGACGTACCACAAGCTGTGAGATCATGACCTGGATGGAAATCAAGAGTCGGACACTCAACTGAATGAGCCACCCAAGCACCCCAGCAAATTAATGATTTTTAACATGCATTGATTACAATCCACTATAGTTGTATTCACAGATACAGCAGAGAATTGCAGAATTTACTTAAAATACTAATTCACAAAACATTGCTGACAGTGTCATTTGGTAACAGGACAAGGTTTATTTAGAGTTGTACAAAGCACGCCTTCCTGCAATCATGTACGTACATCTCTGGGATGATGGTATAACTTCACCTGCACAAAATGTCACAGCTTTGATTAAAGCTTTCACGAATGTGGGGCCTGCCCCGGCCCCCATCACCTTAGCTACTGGGCTGGAACACAGGTGACTGGACTGGGGCAGGTAAACAGACCTGGTTCACTGAAATACACGGCGCATCGGACTGAAGGCATAGATTATGAGGTTGAAGGAATGAGTTATGATTTCTAAACTGAACTAGGAAAGAAGTGAGAACAAGGGAGCAAAAGGTTGGTAGAAAAGAGATTAACGCTAAATGCGGCGTGAGTGATGAAAGGAGAGAACAAGTGGTTATCAGGAGAAGAGTGTAACAGACGCTGATTTCCCGCCGGGCGTGTTTCTGGATGCGACGGTGTGGATGCAGGCGCTGGTGGCTAAGGTGGAGCGGATGGGAGGGTCCACCGGAGCGGAGTGCGAGTCATTGCAGGAGCAGCGTTTGGAGACAGTGACCTCCATGGACACTGAAGGTCAGGGTCTTTTTGTGAGAAGGACCCGCTGTCTCCAGGTGCCTTAAACTGGTAATTGCTCCAAAAGTAGAGCTGGAGAGGAAGAGAGGGGACCAAAGCTGAATACAGGTTATCTTTACCCCTTACTAACCTGTGACTGAAGTTTTATGGATACGAAATAGTAAAGGACAAAATCTTGGTTATCGTACAGAGGTGCTCAGAGAACATAAAACCGCTCGGCCTCTGATCCACTCATCACAGGAAGTTTGTTCTCTCTTTGATGGGAAGGGTAACAATATTGAGTAAAGCAACCTCTGCTGTACCCTGAGCCTTGCAACTGATGTTCTAGTTATGGGACAGCTTCCATTACAGCCCTGCGTCTTCTATCACTTTGGTTCTTAAAGGTTTAAGTTTTAATGCACGGTTTCTGCCCACAGGATTTGTTTGTGTAGACTGCCTACTGGCTGTGAGAGGAAGGGACTGCCAGGAGGGTCCCAGAGGAGAGCCCAGTCCCAACCGGTGGGGCAACAGTGGTCAAGGGCATGTACAAAGAACTTCCCACATCCCCCAAACTGGGTGAAGCGGTACTTTACGGCGACTGGCTCATTTAAAGCTTCAGTATACGAAATAAGTGTTATTACTCTGACCCTAATGTTAAAGAACAGGAAATGAGTAACGTGCCCAAAGTCTCACAGCTACTAAACGGAGGAACTGGGATCTGAACTCCAATCTCCCTAACTCCAGAACCTAAACCATCTGTGCCTACATGGCCTTGACATTTGGGACTGGGACTGGGGCTGGCGGCGAAGTCCCAGAGGCGATCACAGGTCCACTGAGCAGATCCCTTCGAGGAAACCGGGGCCCAGAGCAGCTGGGTGGGATCCGGAGCGCGGCCTCCCTGCAGGTGACCGGTGATGGCGATCCCCGCGCAGAATTCTCCAGGGCGCGTCCCGGCTACAGGAAGACATTATTTCGCTGCTCAGGAAACTTTTTCTTGCTCAGTCCTATTTATATATCTGTTTCACTAGCATTAGAGACAAAATCATTAAAAAGCTAAATTTCTCCACCTAGCTCTAGCTCTAAAATCAGAGTGATGTTGCACAACCCTGTGAATATACTAAAAATGCTGAATTGCTTAAATGTACGATATGCACGGTGAGCGAAACACATGCCAATGAAGGTGTTTTTAACAATAGCAGGATGAATGAATTTAAAAGCGAATTCTCATCGCTTTTGAGTGACTTCAATGGCCTCCTCGAATACAGGACACTGCCACGGGGAGAAGTAGGCACCCAGAGGCCCTGTGCCTGACGCAGGGAGAAATGCGTGTAACCTGAGGTTACCTCTGATTTTTCCGGCTGCCCAGGTTGTCAGGACTACGTTGCAAGCTTGAGCGCAAATTAAAAAAAAAAAAAAAAAAGTTTTCACTTAAAAAAAAAATGGACTCTCCGAAACTCCTCCTATCAGGGGGCACACAGCCGCTGCCCCGCAATCCTCCCGCCCGCAACCCCCACCCGCGGACTTCCCGCACCGGGGCTCCCCAGATTCTCTGCACCCGCACTCGGGTCTCCGGGCCCCCCCGACCCGACTCCACACCCCTACACCCCGCGGAGCCGAGCTCCAGCACCCGCAGCTGGGCCCCCGGGTCGCCCCCACGCACCCAGGTCCCCGCGCCCTCCCCTGATGCCCTCGCTCCTCTTTCTGGGCCCCTGCGACCCCGCCCCACCTGCACCCTCCCGCATCTGCACCTGGGTCCGCGCCGCGGCCTCGGCGCCCCGGACACCCCGCACCCCGGCCCCCCTCGGATGCCCCCAGCCTCCGCCCCCGCATTCCCTCGCACCCGCCCCCGGGCCCCGGCGGCCCGCCCTGCCTCCCCGGGGCCGCGCGCGCGGGCGGGTCACGTGCGGCGGGCCGGCGGGGCGGGCCGGGCGTCTGCAGGAATGCGGCAACTCGCGGGCGAAAGTTCCTGCGCGCGCCGGCCGCGGACCCGGGGCGGGCGGGCGCGCAGAGGAAGGAAGGGCCGCGAGGAGGCGGGGCCGGCGCGCCGCTCGGGCGGGCGGCTCTCTCAACTTTAGTTTTGGCGTCAGCGGCGAGTTTCTGTCTCAGTCGGGCGCAGCCGCCGCCGGGGGAGAGACAGGGAGGAAGGAAGGAAGGGGCTCCGGGAGCAGAGCCGGCAGCGGGGGAGGGGAGCCCCCGCCGCCCCTCCTGAGCGCAGCCGGCGGGGCCGCGGGGCACGGGCGGGGGCCGCGGGGTCGCGGCCTGTCCCCCCCGGCCCCGCGAGCGCCCAGAGCGCCGCCGCCGCCGCCGTCCCCCCCCCGCGTCCCCCCCCACTCCGGGCGGAGCCCTCGGCCGCGTCGTCGGGCCGGCGCCGAGCATGGACCCCGGGCCGCCGCCCGCACAGCCCCCGGCCGCCCCCGGCCCCCCGGGCCCGCCGCCCGCGCAGCCTCAGCCGGGCCAGGGCCCGCCGCCCGCGCCCGGGCCGGCCGCACCCCCGGGGCCACAGGCCCCCCCCGCGGGCCACCAGATCGTGCACGTCCGGGGGGACTCCGAGACCGACCTGGAGGCGCTCTTCAACGCCGTCATGAACCCCAAGACGGCCAACGTGCCGCAGACGGTGCCCATGAGGCTGCGGAAGCTGCCGGACTCCTTCTTCAAGCCGCCGGAGCCCAAGTCCCACTCGCGGCAGGTAACCGCGGTCCCGGGGGCGGGGGGAGCCGGGGGCCCCTCCCCGAGTCCGGCGCCGAGGTTTGCCGTCCTTCCGAGGTTCGCGGGGAGCGGCGGCCCCGAGGGCCGTGCGCCCCCTCTTCCTTTCTTCCTCCCTGGGGCTCCCGGGGGGGTTGGCGGGCCGGGCGGGCGAGGGGGAGGAAGGAAGGGGTGGGGGGGGCGGCGGCGGCCTGGCCGCGGTGGGCTCGCACAAAGCGCGCGCGTCCGCGCCCCGCACCTCGGCCGCAGGGACGCGGTGGGGGGCGGAGGGAGAGAGGAGAGGGGGCCTGGGGGGCGGCCAGGACGGGAATTCGAGGGGGAGAGGGGAAGAGAAGAGGGGGCCGGGAGGGGGGCCGGCTAGGAATGGAAGGGAGGGGGAGAGGGGAGGGGGCGGGGGAAGAACACAGGGGGCCGCGGGGGGGCCGGCCCGGACGGGAATGTGAGGGGGAAGAGAGGGGTCGCAGGGAAGGGAGGGAGGAGCGGGGGCGGGGGGGG